GATTGTTTATTATTTTATTCATTATTCACTTAATAGTGACATGTGTTTCGCTCCGGGATCCTTGAATTCGGCCACAAAATTCACCTGTTCCGGAATAAGGAAAAGGGTGACAATTTTACGATAGTTGGACTCGGCCTCTGACCCCCTGACCCTCCCTGTGGGCGCCCTTGTCGGGTTATAACTATTTTCGTTGCTTTCTTCTGACACATAGGCTTCTCTTCTTGAGCAGGCATACTTGAATTCGGCCACAACCCAGGTAGCTGCAGTAATCTCACCCTTAAGACCTTAAATTCGGCCAAACCATAAAACCCAACCTACTGCCCATAAAACTTACCTTATGATGTTGACAGATTTCGCATTGCATATGAGTTAATACATCTGAAAAAGTGTAAATATGTATTTTGATGCGCAAAATGAAAAGATCTACCAAAATGACTATGGAAAGATTCACAGGCATTTGTTGTCTTATCCAGGTCTATCGAGGCATGTAAGGGTGGAATATAAAAGGTGGAAATAGCGATTCGTCTGATATGCAGGGACCGACTGAGTTCTGAACTTACGGCGGGCGATTTCATACATGAGGCACCATTATCAAGAAAAAGTTGAAAGTTAGGCTTATATTATCGGCAAGAAAAATAAAAACAAAGTACCTACTACTACTACAAGATTAGTACCTATATTCTTCGCCGTATTTACTTTGAAACGAAGTAGATGCTACATTTCGAAGTACTCTCTTCTGTTTATCCGGAAGTTGCTAAATTAATAGTATTCTCCTAAACATTATAAGTAGCATGTACTACAGCTGAAAGTATCTACTTTTTACTGGAAGATACTTCAATTTTAAGAACAACTGAAGTATTTGCTCCGTTATTAGCGAAGTTGATATCATAGCAGCTTCACCGTGAGTGCTACCAAGTGTCATTCTTTTATATAACATAATTTCAATGTCTTTGAGCATAACCACAACAAATGCCAACTGTTGGTCTTTAATTTGGGACTTTTCTATCACACTTCCTGCGGAAGACATCTTAAAGGACTGTTTTGAAAAATATTTAACATAAATAACTAACACCTGTCGTTTCCCAAAAACTTAGCATATCTTTTTATGTCAGCCAGGACCCCGCGCAGCGTATGTATGACGGAAGTGAGTTCCTACTACATTTCAAAGAATGTACTACAATTGTTAAAGGGGGTGTGACCAAAAAATCTAAGAATTAATATTTAAACCGCATCTTGCTACGATGGCCCGTTTTCGAGTTAGGGCGGTTTGAAGTTACAACTAGGTGTTTGTGACGCCACACTGGATTATCAGGGACAGTATTAACATGTGTAAGAATTTTCCAAAACAAGAGAGAATTATCTCCTAAAGCGAATTGCAACCACTCAAAGTATAGGGTACAGTTCACTGACGACTGAACGAATAGAATACTGCTATTTCCGTGGTTGTGACTTCATAAGTTCCTGCATAATTTATCTTCACAGATAATTTTCTCGGAGACTATTTTGACTGCGGTTTTCACGAGAGATCTTATAGACCGTCAGATAGTGACATATTTAGGTGCCCCATTTTCGTATACAAGCCTCGAAGAGGGTTGAAAAGTACATCGATTTTGAGTAGGATGAAGGTATTTTCACGAGTGGCTCCTTTATCCTACTCAAAATCGATGTACTTTTGAACCCTCTCCGAGGCTTGTATGCGAAAATGGGGCACCTAAATATGTCACTATCTGACGGTCTATTAGAATTTTTTTCTTGATTTAAGTAGCTCAAGACGTTTTTTGTCGGTCACGCCCCCTTTAAGTAAATACTTCATAATATGGCGTAGGTATATACTTTGTGGTGAAGCATATTCTATCTCAAGTAAAGTGGATAAGACCTATCGGAAATTAGTAAAGTAAATACTGCGTAGAATATACTAATACTTGTAGTAGTAGCAGGTACTTCGTTTTTATTCATACCACCCTATCATAAACACTTCCCAGATTGTTGTGATTTAGGTTACTTCGTAATTGATTTAAAATATACTTCAGCTTCGAGAAGCTTCGATCACAACTAACTTGCGCAACTGATAATGTCAACAAATACTTGTAAGCTTTCGAAAGTATTGGATAAAAATAAGTAAAGCCAGGTTGACATGGTCGAAGTGTTGTACTTGGATCAAGTACTCTTGGACACTGCGCGCGCCTCACTTGGACGATACTTGGATGGTACTAAACTGTTCATCCAAGTAAGTAGGCTGGCGGCCAACTTTACTTGTTCCAAATTCTCATCTGAGAGCACTTGGACCCCGGCAACCTGGCTCTAAGATTGAATTTGATTATTAGCCTGTAACTGCAATAAACACAGTTTTTGCACGACTTGCAAACTGTTGCACTGGTAATCTACTCTAATCTTCACTAGAAGGAACACACGAAAAAAAGCGCAAGGCACAAGCAAGATGGTGCTTGTCGGGCGGGAGGCTCTCGGCAGTCCGTCACTGCTGATATGTAATTGTCAATGAGATAATCTGAAAATTTAACTACAACTTCGTGATTCTGCTGGATAGCTAACAGCTCAAAAACAAAGAAATCGCTAACTACTTGACTATCCAGAAACATCATTCCGAAACAATTAATAATGTAACGATTTACCGATTTCTGAATATTTTTTTTTTATATTCAATGCTTAAGTTTTGGATCTTCCTCCACCTTGAGATTTTATTAATATCTACCTCAGTACCTGTACTGATTTGCATATTGATAATAGGTCTGTTTCTGCAGAAATCACAAACCAGTCAGAGTGAATTTCATTGGTTGAAACTAGTTTCCTGACTGTTTTCAACCAATAAAATTCGCTCTGACTGGTTTGTGATTTCTGCAGAAACAGACCTACTGATGACCGATGGGTTATGAAACAGCCACCTACCTGATAACCGATTTGGCCAAGTTTAACTATTGTAACTACCTTGTCAATCTACTCGTCTGTGACCTCTTTTTCCATTATATGGAAAATAATTGGTATTTGCTCCACTATTTGAATTTATAAAGTTGTCACCACCTCAATTTCCTCTGTTTCAAAAATTTCTTCTATTCCAAAATTCCTATAATTCCTATGTCCTCTGTATCCTACAAATACTGCATCATATAATTTACTGTTTGTTTCTCGTCGTATGCCTTGTCTGTCGAGTCTCTTCCATAAGTAGTTTATTTTTGACAAACTCTAAAGTCATTTTCGTTTTATTATGAGTAAATATGACATCAAGGGGTGTAATGCCTTGAAATGACTCCGGCATCGATGATAGTAATTGTGAAATTACTTCACTTTCTTCAAGTTTTCCACCAGCAGCTCTCAGTTCAAAAACAGTATGCTCAAACTCAGTTATTAAAGAGTTGAGAGGAATACCTTCAATATATTTCAGTGACCTTAGTTTCCGTCGTAGCTATATCTGTGTTGCTATTCCAGTTTTACAATATGTTCCTCGGAATATCTCAATAATTTTCTTAGCAGTTTCTAAAACGTTATCTGAGAGGGGTGGTATGAATAAAAACGAAGTACTTGCTACTACTAGAAGTAGTAGTATATTCTACGAAGTATTTACTTCACAAAGAAGGATTTACTATTTCCTGGTAGTTTCGAAATGTAGTATCTACTCCATTTTAAAGTAAATACTACGGAGAATATGCTACTACTTGTAGTAGTAGCAGATACTTCGTTTTTATTCATACCACCCTGTATCAAGATATTTTGTGCTTTTACGTTATTTTTGGTAAAGGCTTTAAGTTCTGCCACGCTTGTCGCTGCAGGTGGTGTCTGTAATAAAACAGAAAACACTCTTGCTTGTTCCAGAACTTGGCTGAATCGAAATTCCCAATTAGAAAAACCGCCTCCATCGAAAGGTTTGATGTTACTGGTTTGCGGCACGTTTGAGGTCATGTTTTAAAGTATATTCCTTGAGTAGGTATTCCACAAGTTCCACAATTTTTCTGTGTAAAAACTTTTTTTTATTTTAATAACCTTTGCTTACCCTCACGGTTTTCAAAGTTTTGCACTTGATATTTAATTTTCCAGTCTGGGCCCATAACCTATGGATTCGCAGTGTATTTCCGTATAATAAAACCAACTTCCTGACTTTGATTCAACAGTTTTGTTTAGTTGAAAATAGTAAAAACGTTTGTACAGTTAAATTAACAGCTTGACAACTACAACGAACAATACTGTCAAATTGACTTATATAACAACGGGTGCTAACACAGTAGCAGAGCTTATTATTAGGTTTCTTCGGACTTAGTTCAAGATCAGTTCTGAATTGAACTGCGCTTGCGCATTTGTTCATATCGAACATAAATAAACAAATGCGCAGGCGCAGTTCAATTCTTTGAACTATAGACTGTAGGCCAAATTTATTTGGAACCCAATTTGGCGCTGAATATATTTTTTTTGATTCGGCGGATTTTTGTGAAATTTTGTGCGAATATTAGGGGGGCCTTTCCTCATTTGTAGAAAAATTGCCTTTTCTGCGATATTTTCTTAATATTTTTAAATAATTTATGCAGTTTTAGAGCAAAAAATTTAATTTTGCAACGGCTCCGAAGGCAATGATTAAAAATACTGCTTCTCAATTGGCTCCCCCTGTACATTTTGACTAGATATTTTTTCTACAAATGAGAAAAAGCCCCCCTAATATTCACACAAAATTTCACAAAAATCCCCCGAATCAAAAAATATATATTCGGAGCTAAATTGGGTTCCAAATAAATTTGGCTCACAGTGTAGATACCCATTCTACCACATTTCCAACTATCAAATTCAAGCCTTGAAAGTGACCAAAATAATCATAATCAGTATTGTCCTTTAAAATCATTCTCCCAATATAATACACTATCTATTACCTATTACAAGTCAGAATGATTTGGAACAAAAAATCTTTTTGCACTATTTTGCCAAATAATTTTATATCAAACTTTACTAGTAAATTAGGAAATTTTATATCAAAATATCTATCAAAGCCTTTTCTTCTGCAGTCTATCGACGTGGAAAGCATGTCACCACCAATAACCCCTACCACACCAGTAAGTCCAAAAGAATACGACATATTAGTAGCAACAAACGATGACCAAGAAGACATTTTGAATTTTTTGAGGACTTTCTTTTATAAAGATGAGCCTTTGAATAAAAATCTTGGTGAGTTTTTTAGCCACAAATATCCCACTCCTAATAAAACTTATTTAGGTTTGATAAGCAACGAGACTCCGAGATGCAAAGACTTGGAAAAATTCTCAACCAAAGATATCGGCAACGGACTGAATTTGAAAGCAGTCCACAACGGAAAACTTATCGGCGTGTGCCTCAACGGTATACTAGAAAGGGGTTTTCTGGATAAGGACGACGATTTTGAAATAACAGACCGAAAATTCTCAAAAATCGTAGCTCTACTAGACAAAGTCGACAGAGACGCTGACGTTTTCGCCAAATTTCCCGCAAGCGCCAAAGCCGTAAGCGTTAAAATAATATCTGTAGATGGAGCTTACAGAGGACAAGGAATAGCGAAAGAACTTGTGAACAAAACAAGGTAAGATTTTTTACGCTGGCGACTATAAAAGTAGATCAAGGGTGAAAGGGTGTTTACCAGCCATAAATATTATAGTGCAAGACAATAAGCCCAAATTCGTGCTCTATTAGATTTTTCTGGTGCAAGGTTACGACGATTCGTGAAAAAGCGAACTCACGTTTCACCCCTTTTGTTCTCAGCTGGGATGGTTTTTTTGCCCTCCGGGGAGGATTTCTGCCAAGAGACACTGGCGTAGAATAATTCCACTAAATTGCTTAAAGTAAAGTAGGTAATTTATAGTTGATTGCTTCTTTTTTGGGGGGTCATCTTTTCAATGTGGATAAAGCAGGATATAAATTTGAACAGGCACGTTAATGAACCTATTCGTTAGGGTCTAGATGAGCTATTTTATTACCAAATCGAGGTTGAGATGTTTTAGACAAAAAATTTTGTTAAAATTAAATAGAAATGGAAGAACCTATAAAAAAGAGTGCTTGTTTGCTGAATGGTCTAATTGATTTCGGGCCTACAGTGATTTTTTCTACAAGGTCTCCAGGTCGAAGCGTAGAGTAAATACTAATACTGTAGATATTAAGGAAATTGAAGAAGTTCCTTGTATAGCATTAAGATTGTAAAATCCTTTGGATGATGAATTTATTGAATCTGAATAAAAGATTGAAGTTTATCATTCGATCTGAGTATCATGTACTGTTTGTTTCACGAGAGTTTGTACTTTTGCCTTCTTTTTTTAACAAATAAAAATTGACTGAGACAAATTAATGAAGTCAAAAACGTTCGTCGGTTTTTAAACCAGAAGTCATTCAATGCAATACAAAATCCGAATGCTATTGAATTTATATGAATCAATCTACGACAAACCTTTTTTCCAAGTTATGTCATTATTATCGATGCCATAAGTACAAACCTTCATGAAATGAACTTTATCTTCAAGAGTGTATTGTTGAATTTTCTTAAACCCTTCAAAGTATTTGCTGATAGGGAGAGGAGTTTTCATTCTTTGGTTTAACTAGAAACGATTAATATTGATAGGGTAAGGGTTAGATATTTCATTAAAACTCGAATCTCAGACTAGACCTACGCTGAAGAGAATGTAGTCGTGTGTTGTAATATTACTACTAATGCCTGTAAAAATATATAAAAATTATTGGGGCGCTCCTGACTTTTTCTCATTTCTTTTTCGTCAATTATTATTTTTCTTAGCTGGGGTTGGGTGTCGATTATAGAAAAGCTCATTGCTTCAACGAGCCCCTGAGATTGAAAGATAATTTATAATAATGAAAAAGCTGTCGAAGCAAATTGAAAATAATGATATAAAGGACTTTATTATCGATAAATTTCCAATTTTATTTTTAGTCAAAACTTTAGTTTCGACAATAAATAATTCGCGTTTTATGGCTCATTAGAAACGAAAATCGAATTATCGTTAAACGTGCGAATTATCCAACTTCATGTAATTGGCTGTCAGCCAGCGTGAAAATATTACGCGAATATCTAATTATTATAATTTGGCATGCAACTATAAACGGGAAATATTTATTCGCTATTTACTATTAGTCTTCTTACATTGTGTTACAATGCCTGAAAATAAACAAAAACTAATGAAAATCTACCTTTGAGCGATTTTATTTTTCAAACTATAAGTCGAAATAAACTGAAATTCTCAGGAAGGATAAGAATCGCTGAAAATTCCAGTTTTCTATACCTACCTAATAGAAAACAAGTTATGATTTAGTCTTAAAAAGAAAATCCCAACTTAAAAAACACCCTGTATAGTCAGTAAGGGAATTGAGCCAAAACCTGAAACAGCATCACAAATTAGAAGGTTTTTAAGATTGACGACTTAGGGCGGGTATTATGAAACTATTTTGACAAATAACTGAAAGTTAACGTCTGGAATTACCATGAGAAGTAACGTCATTCCAGAAGTTAGCTTTTAGTTATTCTGTCAAAATAGTTTTATAATACCCACCCTTATCACATTGCATATTGCATGCCGACAGTGATGTTTCCAGGCTACGTCGGACATACAGGGTAACAATTTGAAAAGTAGCAATCGTTTACAATATCTTTTAGATAAAAAAATACTATCAAGAAGATCTCAAATACGTATCGGGGGAACGGAGGAGGAATCAAAATGAAGCACTTTTTAAGTCACCCCGCCTCCCTTAGAAGGTAGCTACCCCAACGTATTTTTTTCAAATAAAAATCTACCTTGTGTTTTATATCGTTGGATAGCTCATCTCATTGCTTTCCGTTTACAGTCTTACAGCAAAATCTTAAATTGTACAATTAGTTTTCAAGATATCGGTGTTTAAAAGTAAGCACATTTTGAAAACTAGTAATTATTTTGACTATCTTCGCGTAGTATTAGTAGTAGTACTCCACTGAACTCTCTACCGTTTAAGGTTTTCGAGAAAATAGAGTTTGAAGTTTTGGACAAAATGTCGACCAAATTATTTCAACTTTGAAGCTCAATATCCCAGAAACTTCACAAGTTACAAAAACCAATTTTGCAGGGCTTATAGAGAATTTAATACTCTTTTCAATGATGCATAATTGTAGGCAATTTTCTCAAATATCATGAAAGATATGAGCAATTATTCATAAGCATGTCATGATTCCAAAAAATGTCCAAAGCCAAAAATTAGATTTCCTTTTTGGAATTTTTTCTCATCGAAATTTTCAAATGTAACTGATGTTAGAGTTATTTCTAACTAATTTGGACTCGCTCTATCGATTTAAGACGTTGGAAAAATCAACTTTAGACGGCAAAAAGACCAACCTAAAACGTCGAAAAGACTTCCAAGATTGTAGAATAATTCAGGGTTTATACTTTAAATTAAATTACCAAAATATGTTGATATTAGGTACCTACCGACAATAGATAACAACACTAAATAATCAATATTTGAAACACAACAACTATTAACAAACTATTGAGAAACTGATGCGACATACAATAAGGAAGGACGTTAGTAAGACGTCGCTTAGACTGTCGTCGACTGGACGTCCAAAACATGTCTTCAGTACGACGTTCTATTTTGGACAAAAGTAGTATGAGACCAAAGTGGTCCAAAATTGGACGTCTTTTTGACGACAAACTGGTCATTGTGGTAACAAACAGTGAAAATTCAAAAGATACCTAAGTCTACTTATCTACTCAATTTTTCCTAAATTTCTGGTTCCCAATTATCAAATTTTATTGTCTAAATGTTTGTCTATTCCCGGCTCTTGAATTGTTTTCTTCGGAATATCTCCAAACAGAGAAAATTCAAAATCCTGAAATAGGAAATAATAGCATACTCATTATGTCCACTCTATTAGAAGTGTTCCAGTCGCAGAAGGGAAAAGGTCATGATAGTTAAGGTCATTACATTACAGCCTTTCTAGGCTTTCCCTCATTCACCTGCCTTCCTGGCTTTCAGGCCTGTGGATTTCCTAGGGATTGACTTTATCCCTGGTTCTCGCAGTTTGTCGGAGGATTGATCAATCTCATCCTTATCTGGCAGTTCATTTAGGCAATCTTTCCACTCTAAACTATCTGCGAAAGCTTAAGCTTTTACTTTATATCAGAGAATACCTAGGCAAACCCATTGAATATGTGAAATAGTCGAATGATGGTTTTCTTTTTACAGATACTTCTGCTTTTTAGAAATTTTCCTTATATTTCTTCTCTTAATTTGTGAATTTTTCTGTCTCAATTTTTGTCTATTCTCGGCGCTTGAATTGTTCCTTCTAAATATCTCTACATGAAGAAAATTCAAGGGCCTGGAATAGAAACAACATACCTCGCAACCGAGGGGTAAATCACTCATGGAAATATTGTAGGTACACTTTGCTGGGAATACCTAGGAATACTTAGTAATACTCTGCGAATACTTAGGATTACTTGGAAATACTATGGGAGTATATGGGAATACTCTGGAAATATATGGGAATAATTTGGAAATACATGGAAGTACTTGTAAATTTCTATAACTTCCAACCCCACTTTTAACATATTTTTGGGCATTTTCATTAAAATCTCAAGAATTGTATGCATGTTCGATCTGGTTCAGTGTTCCACTTTGTTCTGGTTAAGTATTCCAATTTTTTTTGGTCAACTGTTCCAGTTATCCTAATTTTGAGACAGTGACCCCTATTTTCTTATGCATTCGCATAGTAATAATTCTGAGGCGACTGGAACGTATTGTAACGTATATGTATGTAAAGATCCTAGCAAATTTGTTTTTTTAGCTCAAGAATTATGGGAATCATGGGAGATGAAACAAAAGTATTACCGAGTGGTGAGAAAATAATGTTAAATGAACAAAAAATAAAATAAGAAACCTAATTTCTTTGTAAGTAATCCATATATATCTCCATTTTACTATGGTGTTCAGCACAGTTGACAGGTCTTCATCTACTTCATTCATATATTTCTCCACCACCTCATCCTGCTACCGACAATATACTTTTCCCTCTTGTTCCAAATACAAAGAGTCATATTGTGGATCTTGAAATGTCATAGAAAACGGCAGCAGCGTATATTGTTCTCTTAGGATTTTGAGCATCTTCAATTGGTTTTTTTGGGGCCAACTTGAACTATTGAACTTGGTGTATCTTCCACCGTCCACACTTTTGGAGGTTCTACGGATATAATTCCTGACCGCATATTTGCTCTAAAACAAACGATAATTTGTACAGGGTTATTGGTTATAAATGTCACCCCCCTCTATCTTTTTTATTTGACATTTTAGAAAAAAGTGTCCCAAATAAAAGTTTTATAGTTGAAATTAAATTTTTTGAAAAACTCACTTTCGCATATACAGGGTGTTTCAGAAAAGCTGGTCGTGCTCCAAATTTTTTATTTCAAATGGAATACCCTGCATATTATTAGATATTCGGATTCCGTGTAAAATTCTGAGCAGATTTCATGTGATATACCCTATACCTAAGTTCAACTGTTTTGAAATATTGACAGTTGAAAATTGACTTTTTTGCAACTTTGACAGGCTGTAAATCCTAAACGGTTAATTTTAGAGCAAAACCGATCTTACATTTTCATCTTAGATTTTTATAAACTATCAGTTGACACCAATATTTGACATCAACTTTGAATTTATTCCATGATTGAAAGTTCCAATTAAATTTAATCTTCGGTTAAATTCAAAGTTGATGTCAAATGATAACTTGTGAAAATCTTAGAAAAAAAATGTAAGATCGGTTTTGCTCAAAAGTTAACCGTTTAGGTTTTACAGCCTGTCAAATTCACAAAAAAATCAATTTTCAACTGTCAATGTTTCCAAAACAGTTGAACTCAGGTATAGGGTATATCACATGAAATCTGCTCATAATTTGACGTAGAATCCGAATATTAAATAATATACAGGGTATTCAATTTAAAATAAGAAAACCATCTTTTTTGAAACACCCTGTATATTATGCAAAAGTGAGTTTTTCAAAAAAATTAATTTCAACCATAAAATTTTTATTTAGGGCACTTTTTTCTAAAATGTCAAATAAAAAAGATACAGGGGGGGTGACATTTATAACCAATAACCCTGTACAATACAATGTTAATTTTAGGTGGAACATGTTCCAGTTGGCCACGGCCATATCATATACGGTCCAGTTGCCTCTGGACGTATTTTTACCTGGGCAACTAGAACCCAAGCTGTGTTTTCATTACTTGCAATTCTAAGCTAAGAACAAACCTGGCTTACCTTCACAACATCTTTCTCTTACGGTTAAACATGCTCAATGCAAAATTATTCACTTTAATCACTAACCATTGATTAAAATCCAAACTTCTGTTACTTGTTAGTATGAGGATACACTTCGTAAAAGTACGTAATTTCAATTTTTTTCTCAGAAACAAATTCGGCGGCGTTCTTTCTACAGGCAGGGTAAAAATGAGACACACTAGTAACGCATTTTTATGCGAGGGAAATTCAAATTTTTAATAAGCTAAAAACTGGCATATGGCCCAGTTACCTAGATGTTACAGTTAAAAGTTGACCGTGAGATGCAGTACCTTCATAGAGCCATATCTGCGGTATTATTTGTCATAGAGGGGTGCGGATTCCACTGTTATTCTTAAAAAAAAAATCTCTTTTTTTTGAGATGAAGTTGTTTTTTTGGCGCACACCCCCTTTATCTATTTTTATATTTGTCATTCGGCAGTAGACTATTGTGGAGGAATAAGCTTTTAAAAAAATAATAATTACCTAAGCTATGCTCCTAACAGCCCTTCAAATCAAAATTTTGGTAAGCTACTTCTAGTTGAGCATGTTTGGTATTAGACTTTAAGCATTTGGCTGTAGATGTGTTCAACATATCCTAACAATTGAGGTTGCGTTTCACTGATATCCAGGGCAACAAATCATGGTTGCAAAGTTATTGACAATTGTATCTAGATCTTCAGAAACAATATTGTTATAGCTCATTACATTGGGTAACTGGTAAGCTTGCCTCTCAGAGTTGATATATTTCCAGAAATCTTTGTTGCTGTTGCTGAATGATGACTGGACTTCTTCAATATACTGAGAATAACTTTCGTGTGATAGTTTCTTACACTTGTTTCGTAAACTGGAGAATTTAGTATAATCCGCTTGCAGACCAGATAATTTGTACTTTTTGTGTGCAATTTTCTTTTCAAACAAATATGTTTTCAATTGATCACTGAACCATTTTGGAGACTTTGACCGTCTTCTAGGAATAAATAACTTCACTGCATCATTTATACAATCATAGAGAACTTTCACATTTGAATCAATATTGGAGTTACTCAACAAGTTTTCAAAATCAAACCTGTTGAGATACAGATTCAGATCTACGTATAATTAGAAGCGTTTTTTATAATCATAGTAGTATGTATCATACTGCATAGTTATAAAATCAGATATATTCTTACACTTAAACAAAAGGGCTGGGTGATATTTGTCACAAGGTAACAAAGCATCATCAGCTACACTTTATTTTTTCCCAAGATAGGTTTTGACATTGAAAACTTTGAAACATAACCAATAACGCTTGACCCTGACTGGTCGCAAAATGAGATGTTTCTGCAGGTTGACATCAGTTTCACAATAGCGACCAATAAGCGGCATTAGCGGCATCGTTTATGTTTCAAAGTTGACAATGCCAAAATCTATCTTGGAAAAAAATAAACCATACATTTATTGCAAAAACTTAATTTGAAAAAATCAAACCGAGAAGACTACCTGTAGCATTTGTAATGTTATTAACTTGATATAAGTTAAGAAATGCCATAGAATCAGCTAAAATACTGGATTGTTTAGTAATCCTTCCAACTGCTATCGTACCATAGTCATCATTAAGCCAGTTAACATTCGGTAGATTGAAGTCACCAAAGCAATAAACCTGGTGATAGGATGTTGTAGACAATATACTTTCCAGTGAACTGCAAAAAGATTTTTTCAAATTGTTACCCTGTATATGCTTGACGCGCACTAACATACCAGGGCCGTGTCAATCATACCTGCCCGACGATACGTATATTTCCTAATGGGATTTTAAAGAATGGCCTGTGCGGAACATATTGGTAGAACCCCGATTATCTGAGTCGCAATTATCAGAGCTCTGGATTAACCGAGCCAGTTCAAAGACCCAAAAACCCTGGTTATCTGAGGTACGCGCGTCCATACTCCGTATTAACCGAGTTTCGAAAATATACATACATATACTATGTATATTCGGATTATCCGAGTTTTTAGTCATCTGAGGTGGGTGCCCCCCACGTTTTCTTGGATAACCGGGGTTCTACTGTACTTGTTTTGGGCAAATTTGGTTATTTACTATTATTTTTGAGGACATTAAATCAAACATTGTATAATACCTATCTTTTCCAAAGACGTCAATGTTAATCTTGTGAATTGAATTAGAAAAAAATCGTCGGGCATATCTGACTGATGTGGCCCCCTCCATGTCCAAGTCCATGAAAATAACCTGGGGCCACTTCAGTCATATATGACTGACATTACATAGAAAAAATGGTGGGGAAACCTGAAAACAAAAAAAAAAAATACTATAAACAATATAATCTATCATTTCAGCCACTTTCCAATAAATATTAAGACAAAAATATGCGTGGCTTGTGGGATGTTTTCCCAATATACACGGGCATGCAATGTGTTATACAAATTACTAAATTTGAGTAAATATCCAGAATTTGTATATCGGTATCTTATTGTTCTAAGCTTGTTCTAAGTCACTGAGTAAACCAGAAAAAAGGATACAGTCAATTTCTATTAGAAAAACAATTTGAAATTAGAACTTCTAAAACTACTATTGTACAATTATTTTTTAGGGATTTGGCTAAGGAAATCGGCGCTGAATTTATGGCTGTAGTTTGCACCAGCCACTTCACAGCTCTCGCTCTAAAAAAGTTGGGATTCGAATTGCACTACACTCAAAACTACGCCGACTATAAAGACGAAAATGGACAAGTGGTGTTCAATCCGGAACCACCGCACGCAGCTTGCACCGTTTATGTGCAGAAAATTTAATTTTTTTCAGCAAATTGAAAAATGTTTGTACCTGATTTTAATATTAAAATCACCTTATAATAATAAGGCATGTTAAAAATTAACATTTTGGTGTATCTAAACTTGATGTGATAAATAATTGTAAGGGCCTAAGTTTTAATTATTAATTTTTTTATATTTCTTGTAGTAGGTACTCGGCCTATAATATTATCACACTGTATTATTTTTATTAAAAAAAGTTGCACAATTTTGGTTATACAATGTTGTCTATGGTTTAAATTAATGGAAATATAATTATGTTAAATAAATTGGTTTATTAATTATCTTTCTTCTTGTACTTACCTACTTGTCTCGTTTCAGGTTTAATGTAGCATCCTTCCAACTGAAAATATTGAAACTCTTGTAAAAATATTCTATTAATTTAAAATCACACATTTTGTCTATTTTTTCATTGCTTTTTGCTCGGCTTCCCATCGTTCCTTGGCTTCGAATCGTTGCCTGGCAATCTCAACTTGCTTCTTATTACCATTCTTTTCCGCTGTTTCTTGTAGATCGTTTAGTAATGCTTGCAATTCCATGGATTTTTGTCTCATTTTATTTTGTTGCTTCATGAAAACGTACCGTAGGATGACCATTTGAATCATGAAAGCTACAGTGGCAAAGGCTACAACTATTAGGGCAAAAGTACCGTTTGATACTCGTTTCATGCCTTTAAAGCCGTAGTAGGAATCTGCTGGTCTTTCTTTGAATTGGGATTTGTCTCTGTTGGCGTAGAAGGATGGATCATCCCATGCACTAAAAGAATCATCAATGAGAGTTTTGAAGATTTTCAGATAATTGTTAGCCAAGCTGTTAGCTCTCCCACCCATGTTAATATTTGAATTTTTTATTTTTTTTTTTAATTTGTTAAATACACCTTACAAACACTTATAGGTAATGACAACTAAGGGGGTTGCTAAGGCTAAAACGATAACAAAAAATAGATAAAACAAAACAGATAAATAAATAATAAAATAGCTATTTATACAAGAAGTTACGAAATGGGTGTCTTTTAGGCACGCGACGTGAAAATTGTCCAACGAGGCGTAGCCGAGTTGGACAACACGTAGAGTGACTAAAAGACATCGTTTCGTTACGTGTTGTATACAAGATTTTTTCTACTGGCGTTTCATACTGAAAAAAAAAACATAATTTTATTCCTCGTAAATAAGAGCCGATCGCGCCAAAAAAGTTTGGCACCTGCTTTTGATTGACATCTTTCATGAGGTTTTTTTGATTGAAAATTGAAATCCTATTGAAAAAAACAACAGAAAGTTCTGTTTTGAGTAACCCAAACGTTTACTTTAGTAGTTCAAATAATTGCATTGACAACATTTATGAAAAAATAGACAAAATTCAAATCTGTGTGTTTTATTTCTGAACAATGAGTGACACTTTTAGGCACTGGTGCTTAAAAGTGTCACTTTTACGCACTAGTGCTTAAAAGTGTCACTTTTACACACTAGTGCTTAAAAGAATGCCATTTAAAAACTAAAATGACAATCGAAAAGTCGCTATTATGAAACGTCAGTAGAAAAAAATAATTAAATAAATAGGCTAGATGGCACACATAAATCACAGCAATTGGGCTCAAACATAATGGTGTGTATCATCCTCTAGTCAATTTTTTGATTGAAGCAACAGTTGTGTTAAAGATATCTGTTACACTTCTCTTAGATATCGCTACACTCTATAAGGATATAGCTCAGAGGTGAGCAACTTGACTGGTTCATCACAAAAATTTTGTAGTTCCTTAGCCTAAGGTTCATTTTAGGAACATGAGGTCTGTATATTTAATATTATTGACTAATGATGGCAAATTCTCGAGAATTTATTTTGAGAGAATTTGCTCGGACAATATTCGGAAACAATCACAAAATTTACATTGAAATTTGTTGTCCTTATTTTGTCTGAAATATTTCCATATCAAACCTCTAGGTTTCATTTTCGAAGGAATTTCCTCAAAATTAATATTGAGCAAAAAGGGGTTTCTATATCTGTTTTTTAACATGCTGAGAGAAACAGGTGGAAATACACTCAGTACTCAATGGCACCAGTGCGCATTAAATCTAATCTACCAATAGAAAACGCCTATGGAATCGGGGGATTTACCCGGACTCACTGGCTCAGTTCGGTAATTGCATCTGCGAGCAAAATGAACAAAATTTGACAGATGACACGTAAAAAAAAATTTGATCAGGTGACGTCCGTTAAAATTTGCACTTTTTGCCCGCAGATGCAATTACCGAACCTAGCATCAGTTTTCCGTTTTTCATTTCCACCTAACTTCACTACAAACCTAGATGAATTTAAAAATTACAACTAACTTCCCACAAATTCTCAAAAACTACCGTATATTCTCATAAATTCTTGAACCTAAAAAAATCATAAATTCTCGAGAATTTAAGGCCAAAGAATATTCTCAGTAAATTATCTGTTCTCAATAGAAGTTCTTTGGAGAATATTCTCAGGGCCATCTCTATTATTCACTATATGGAAAATGCAAAGTAAGGATTGAACTGCCATTTTCGTACTAAGATACTGAAGCTCAAAGGTCTCCAACATACTTCCATATGACAATAGCAGAGGAAATATAGGATATACATGATACATGATATTGTTTAAAATACAAATATCTCAAAAATTTCTTTTGGACTCTTTCTATCAAGTCTCTATTGCAAAGGTGACCAGATACCACATGCATACTCCAAGTGGGGCCTGATAAAGGCATTATAGAGCTTTATCAAGGTATTAATTCTTTGAAAATGTTTGGTATTTCTAGTGATGAAGCCCAAGGCCCTAAATGCCCTGTTAACAATTTTGTGACAGTGCAAATTAAATTTCATGTAGGTCTATAAACCTAGCAGTCCCAAGGTGGAAAAAAACTTCAGGAACTATATAATAATTAGGTGATTTTCAGGTGCTAATTAGGGCCTCTAATTAAAAATTAGGTGCTCCTCTAGTTTTTGAGAAAATCAAAAAAAAAACTAAGAGATTGCTGGGTTTATGAAAGCTAGTAGTCCCCTAAAGTAAAAAATATTTTTCCAAAATTTTCTTTTATATCAGAATTAGTGTTTTTTAGGTGCTCCTAAATAGTCGAAGAAAAAATAGAATTGATTAATTATTAACTGAGTTACAGATTTTTTTTTAATTATTAGGGGACTGATGGCTTTACGTTTACTTGTTGGTGTGTCCGAATGGCAAAAAAACTTCGGGATCTATATAATAATTAGGTGCTTTTTAGGTGCTAATTGGGGCCTCTAATTAAAAATTAGGTGCTCCTCTAGTTTTTGAGAAAATCAAAAAAAACTAAAAATTGTTGGGTTTATGAAAGCTAGTAATGTCTGCCCAGCGACTCTGTGTCTACGGGGCAACGGTAAGGGGAATGCAGTTGTAAAAAAAATGGCTGATTTCATTCATAAAATACCCAGCTGCGTGCGGAACTTTTTGGAAGTGTTATTGTATTGCAACTCGTACACGAAAATTGACAATGACCAAACCGCCGCCACTGGATATTTCAATATAAATCGATATTCCAAGATGGGAGGATAAAATGACAAGAGCCCTGGCCAATAGCGAGACGTAAGGTGACGTTAGCCCACTGACAATTGCATAGTTCCCCCTGGCAACGGCAATCCTGCCAAAACCTCCACCAATCAGGTTCATCCAGGCCGGATCCTTGCCAAATGTTCAAAAGCTGATGGATTCTTTAGGTAATGTTTATTTTTTACAATAGAAAAAATTGACGAAATCAGTTATTAAAATAAGCATAGGTAGATCTAACAACCACGTGACATATTTAGCGTTTTATTGTTATCTACATTTTGTTATTAAAAAATGGATTTTCAAATGAACTATAATACTTCATCCCTAGTATTTTCGCTTTTTTATAATTAAACGTGGCAATATCGCACATTTACGTCCGAATTCCTTCCGTAGACTCAGAACCGCTGGGCAAACAATAGACCCCTATAGTAAAAAATACTTTTCCAAAATTTTCTTTTATATCAGAATTAGGTGCTTTTCAGGTGCTCCTAAATAGTCGAAGAAAAAATAGAATTGATTAATTATTAACTGAGTTACAGATTTTTTTTTAATTATTAGGGGACTGCTGGCTTTACGTTTACTTGTTGGTGTGTCCGAATGGCAAAAAAACTTCGGGATCTATATGATAATTAAGTGCTTTTTAGGTGCTAATTAGGCCTCTAATTAAAAATTAGGTGCTCCTATAGTTTTTGAGAAAATAAAAAAAAACTAAGGGATTGCTGGGTTTATGAAAGCTAGTAGTCCCCTATAGTAAAAAATATTTTTACAAAATTTTCTTTTGTATCAGAATTAGGTGCTTTTTAGGTGCTCCTAAATAGTCGAAGAAAAAATAGAATTGATTAATTATTAACTGAGTTACAGATTTTTTTTTAATTATTAGGGGACTGCTGGCTTTACGTTTACTTGTTGGTGTGTCAGAATGGCAAAAAAACTTCGGGATCCACAGTGTTCGCCATAAAGTTGGGTACATATGGGAAAATTCTTAATTATCCCCTTTTTTAAAAAACTTTTTTTGGAGATCGTTAGGGCATGTTCAATAATCAAAAAACTAATTCTGATACAAAAGAAAATTTTGAAAATAGTATATTGTGTATTTAGGTAGAAAAGTGACACATTCTCGGCCGACGGTGTAACGGCAAACACCGAAGGCCGAGAATGTGCTTTTCCACCGAAATACACATACTATTTTTTCTGCGATCGGTTAAATACCTGTTAAATGTTTGTCTTTTGGTTCCAATTATTTAGCAGTACGAGAATCACTTTCTCGGCCTAGGCCGGAAAAGTGTTTCCCGTATTGTTATTCATTGATTCCTTAGCAACTATTGAAACATAATTGAACCATAATTGAAATACCAGAATAATGAGTTTTGCGACCTGTCAACCGGTCAAAAATGCTGACATTCCTTGTCAATCGCAGAAAAAAATATTTTTTACTATAAGGGACTTCTAGCTTTCATAAACCTAGCAGTTCCTTAGTTTTTCTTGATTTTCTCAAAAACTAGAGGAGCACCTAATTTTTGATTAGAGGCCTAATTAGCACCTAAAAAGCACTTAATTATTATATAGATCCCGAAGTTTTTTTGCCATTCTGACACACCAACAAGTAAACGTAAAGCCAGCAGTCCCGTAATAATTTTAAAAAATCTGTAACTCAGTTAATAATTAATCAATCCTATTTTTTCTTCGACTATTGCTAGCTTTTATAAACCTAGCAGTCCCTTAGTTTTTTTTGATTTTCTCAAAAACTAAAGGAGCGCCTAATTTTTAATTAGAGGCCCTAATTAGCACCTAAAAAGCACCTAATTATTATATAGTTCCCGAAATTTTTTTCCACCTTGGGACTGGTAGGTTTATAGACCTATTTCATGTTGGATTGGAAAGTGACTGCCAGGTCCTCACAGTTGTCCTTTCGTGTGAGCATTTCAGCATCCAGATTATAACTGTATTCTAGATATTGAGGACGCCTTGTGTAAGTCATACAGAAGCATTTACTGACATTCAAAAAAAAAAATTTATTTTTAACCATATATGAAATGTTGTCATTACTGACTTTTCAAAAATTTGAAAATGTCACATTTCTGTCTCTTCATTTTCCTGCTCCATTACCTGTCCCAGGACGGGAAGTGAGGACGGGAAATTTTTTCCGTCCTCATTTCCCGTCCACAGACGGAAAATGGAGCAGGGAAATATTTCCCGTTCTCATTTTCCTCTTCATTTGCCGACCTCATTTGATTGCCCCGAATTTTTTTTTTTTCAAGAAATTATGGTTAAAAATAAAATAGTATACAACCCTCGACGGGAAACTTCATTGCTGTCTCGAGGTTCAGTTTAACTATAAAACCTCTCGACGCTACGCATCTCGATAAACTATAAAACCTCTCGACAATGAAGCATTTCCCGTCGCGGATTGTAATATACTATTGTCAGCAAACCAGGCACTGACAATCGATAAATCCGAGTATAAATCGTTCTGGAGAACCTGACCATCTGCCTGTGAAGAGACCACTCTGAAGATCTTGAAGTCTTTACAAACAACAAACAGACAGAATTTCCAATACAGTCAGGTAGGTCATTTATGAATATTGTAAAGAGTAGGGGAGAAAAATTATTGCTTCCCTGAGGAACACTGGAGCTGCCAAAATAATGCTCAGATAGTTCCATACAAATGCGAACAGAGTAGGGCCTGTATAACAAATAAGATTTGATGAGTTTAAACGATTTTTCAGTAAATCCTGTAGGAATCAATTTTTGGAGAAGTAGGTGGTGATCAACCTTATCGAACGCCTTCTCTGCATCAGTGTAGAGGTCACATCCAACTGCAAATCACTATCAATCGCAGCAGAGGCTGCATTTGTTATATATATACTCACATAGGTTAATGAATACTGTGGATCTGCCAGAGATAAAGCAGCTTCATGATGCTCAAACAATTTAGACAAGTGATAACACAATGTAATTTCAAAAATTTTAGCAATGGGGTTAAGAATTCTAATAGGTCTATACTTTCCAACAGCTGTTGTACTGTCCTTTTTATCAATTGAAATAACAACAGGTTTCTTAAATACTTCCGGAAAGACACCAGTACTTATGGCACAGTTGAAAATTGACAGAACTTTGTAAAAAATGTAAATATTCTTCAATAAGTACATAACATTTACCTTCCCGATGTATATCTTGGTGCAGTTCTCGAATAAGCATAATAAGTCCCTCGCCTATGACTATATCTAGGTCTCGACCTTCCCAAATCGTACATAGCTCTGCTATTAGGTTTACCCAAAACATTGTAAGCTTCTTGTATTTTCAAAAACTCCTTATGAGCGTTGGGATTCTTGTTGACATCCGGATGGTTTTTTTTGGACAGTTTAATGAAGGACTCTCTGATTTCTTTTGAAGTGCAGTCGGTTTTAACTTTGAGGGTATCGTAGTGACTCGATAGGAAGCTGGTAATAATAAGATGTGTATGTAATCAATTCTGAAGCTTATAACCATTCTGAGCTCCTACCTTGATTTGTGAAACAATTTTTTGAGGGTCAAAAAAGCGTTTTTCAACAAAAAAGAACTTAACTTTTGATTCATGCCCAAATGAAATGGAATCATTTAGATTTTGATTTAGTTTTTAGCGAAAATGGTTCATGAGACTGGAAATTTTGACTTGTTTGTATGTTTATGTTTTTGTTGAAAATGACATCCAGCAATCAGCTGATCAGTGAAAAAATTTCTTGACATAGAAGATAAAAATATGTTTTATCCTTTTCTATTTTATTAGATTGAAAAGAGTCCGAGATACACCGTTATAGAGGAAAGAGTAGTCTTTGTATGACAGTGACAGAGTCACATTTGACTTATCCATGAAAAGATAAATAATGGTGGGGTGGAAAATAAAATTGTCTAACTATCTATATTTTTATTAATAATATAATAAATAAATTGTTATAACAATTAACAATTAAAATGGACAGTATAGGAGCCGAGGTTGGCCATAAAATGAGGGTGAGTTCAAGCATATTGATTTTACAATTTTTACAACATGCTGGTGGACCTCTTTATAGAATTTATTCTATACATTTTTATATTAAAATTGAAAATAGAGGGTATTTCTAGTGCTAAGTTTAAGACTCTCATCGCTGGAGATACTACTATTACATATTTATGTAGAAACTAAACATTAAACACAAACTCTAACCTAGTTTTTGATCTAGAATGGGGACACTGTGTACCAGTAGAAACTAGCTGTAGGCAGTGCTAGGGGCCGTAGGGGAAACCAACCTCCCAAATTTTGCATATAAACTTCATCTACTATCCTATATTTATTTCCTGTGCCTACTTCCTTTGATCTTTCTAGATTTCCCCAATAACTCCAATTCATTGAATTAAATTGAATTTTAAGTACAGACTTGCTATTTTAATGTACTTACTATCTAAACAGTACATCAAATAAAACAAAAATGTTGAGTAGTAAGAGAATCTAAGTCAATCTAAGAGTAAAACAACAAACACAATACAATAAAATCTAATTACATAATTCAAAGTAAAACCAAAGTAAATAACGTCATATTTACTAAAGCAGATAAGGGAAACTCTGTTGTAGCCATACCTACCTAAAGACCACTAGGAATGTTCAGAAAACTTTGGAATTTTTGGACTCCAACGATGTTCAGAAAATAAATTTTGATCCAAGAAACCATTATCAAGCCACCAAGCCAATTGCTGACACTCTACAAAGCCCAGATTCGACCAACTATGGAGTACTGCTCACATATATGGAGTGCAGCACCCAAACATACCTTAATGCTTTTGAATACCGTGCAAAAACGAGCTATCAAGCTGATCAATGACCCCGCACTTACTCGTAACTTGGATGGTCTCGAACATCGCAGAACGGTGGGCGATTTATCTCTCTTCTACAGGTACTATCACGGAAAATGCTCTGAAGAGTTGGCACGTATGATTCCACCGAGAGTAGCACCTACCAGGCGAACCCGTCAAACAGACGGTAACCATGAATTTACTGTCAAACTAGAGGCACCAAGAACCTCATTATATCAGAATTCATATCTCTGGAGAACAGCATCGCTGTGGAATAAACTCCCTGCGACGGTTTTCCCTGCAGGTTACAACCTGAACCGTTTCAAGACCAACATACACCGACATTTCCGCGCACTTGCCGCTTCTCGAGCGTGATAGGACATTTCCTTGCAAGTGCGCATATCCGTAAAAAAAAAAAAAAAAAAAAAAAATCAAAAGATGATTAGGATGACTATGAAAGAAGTTTCAGTTTTTAATGACTTTATTCTTTCATAAAATTGTACAAAGACTGTCGCCTTATTAGACCAGTTGTTTCCTTTATTAATAATTGACCATTAGGATACAAAATCTCATAAAAAAAAAAATTGAAATTTTATCGTTTTAGTAAGAAGGTAGCTCTTATGATTTAGATTTTGGAAAACTGTGGAAAGGCATAACTTTTTTTCTATTATAGATAGAAAGCTGAAACTTTCACTGAATTTTATCCCAATCAAGGGACTACAATCCCTAAAAGTTTGGGGGATGTTGATTGACCATTAGGAAACAAAATCTCAACAAAAAAAAAATTGAACGTTCATCGTTTTAGTAAGAAGGTTTATCTTATGATTGAGATTTTGGAAAACTTTGGAAAGGCATAACTTTTTTTCTATTATAGATAGAAAGCTGAAACTTTCACTGAATTTCATCCCTTTCAAAGGACTACAATCCCTGAAAATTTCAGCTCATTTGCATTTATAGTTCCTGAGATAAAATCGTGTTAAGCAATTTGGGGTGATTTATCAATTTTTCAATTTTTCTGAGTGCCCTTTTTCATAGATTTCGGCTTCAAATCTGAGAATAATTTAGTGTATGGAGTTTGGGGGATGTTGATTGACCATTAGGATACAAAATCTCGACAAAAAAAAAATTTGAAATTTCATCGTTTTAGTAAGAAGGTTCCTTATGATTTAGATTTTGGAAAACTTTGGAAAGGCATAACTTTTTTTCTATTATAGATAGAAAGCTGAAACTTTCACTGAATTTCATCCCTTTCAAAGGACTACAATCCCTGAAAATTTCAGCTGATTTGCACTTATAGTTCCTGAGATAAAATCGTGTTAAGCAATTTGGGGTGATTTATCAATTTTTCAATTTTTCTTGAGTGCCTTTTTTCATAGATTTCGGCTTCAAATCTGAGAATAATTTAATGCATGGAGTTTGGGGGATGTTGATTGACCATAAGGATACAAAATCTCGACAAAAAAAAAATTGAACGTTCATCGTTTTAGTAAGCAGGTACCTACCATATGATTTAGATTTTGGAAAACTTTGGAAAGGTATAACTTTTTTTCTATTATAGATAGAAAGCTGAAACTTTCAGTGCATTTCATCCCTTTCAAAGGACTACAATCTATATTGGTTTTGTACATAAAATAATCTATTGTTTCTTAAGCTATGTGGTATGTGGCAGATTAAAACCAACCAAAAAATTAGGCGACCAAGTCATATTATTCACTAGTTTAAACAGAATACACAGGTCCTGATAATTTCTCCGTTGGGTTGGAGTTTGCTTGTTAAAGAGTTTTAAGATATCAATAACCTCGCCTAAACCTAACAATTAATCTATAATGTTTTTTTTACTTCAGAGTGCCATTAAAGCCAAGTTACTGGAACTGGATTGTTATGTTGGTAAGTTCCTAAATCCGATTCCAACAACTTCACTTGACAATCGCTTGCTATTTTCCAGATGATGAACTGCCAGACTACATTATGGTAATGGTAGCGAATAGGAGAACTAAATCTGAGATGAACGAAGACCTGAGTTTGTTTTTAACGACAAAAACCGCAGCTTTTGTCAATTGGCTCCACATAGTCCTGAAAAAGTTGAAAGAAGTCACTGTTACCAACCCAGAGGTTTATAAGAAAGCTATCAAAAGAAAAAGCTCAGAGTTGCCTCCTGATAGTAAACATGATTTGAAACTAAAAAAAGAGAAAAGTAACAGTAACAAACGAGAAGAGTCTATCACTGACGATCTTCCATTATTATTGAGAAATAGAAAAGTTGTTGTGAGCGAAAGTCTTGATGATAATTTTGATATTCCACTATTAGCGGAAGTAAATGCCTCTGACAACCAGGCGCAGTTGCAAGACTTAGAAGATAGAATTCGAAATGTTAAAAGTAGATTGGGTTTGTTGGTTGACAGTGATCATGAAGATGAAGCTTTAAACATTAAAGCAGAAGATGATCCATTTTCTGAACAAGTCGAAGATGAAAATGAAATAAATACTATGTCAAAGACGAGAAGTATAAATTTATCAAATGATGAAGAAAATGAATTGGAACAAGATACAGAAAAAAGACCTCAACACACAAGAATAACATTTGAAAAAAATACTAAAACTGTTTCAGTTAGATCTAGATTGGGAAGCCCAAAGGAAAGATTCAGAGATAACAGTCGAGAGAAAAAAAAGTCAATTTTGTCTAGATTAGGAAAAAGAATGGGAAGTTCTGAATATAGATCTAGATATAGACAAAGAAGTTCATCAAGAGATAGAGACTCTAAAAGAAGCAGGCATAGAAGAGAAACCTCTAGAGAAAGACAAAAACATCGCTCAACAACTCCTGAAGTTTCTAAAATGAGAGACGGCATTATCGGACGTATTCAATCAAAAGTGCGAGTCGTTAAAGCATCCAAACCAAACATCACTGAACATGAAGAAGAGGAAAAACAAGTTGCAGTACCAAGTTTGATTAAAGTCAAACCCAGAGTGATTCCAAGAAAGGCGCAACCCAATAAAAATTTGCTAATGAAAGCAATTGCTGATGCTCAAAGAAGTATTGCTCAAACACCAAAAGTTGGCTCCAATCAAAATTCTGCGACAGCTGATAAGAAGGAGGAACTCATGACAAAAAAATATTTAGAAAAACATTGTGATGAACAGATAGTCAGCAGAGAGGATAGAAAATACATTGAAAAACGAAATCCAGATAAATTTAGGCAAAATGTGTTGAAGGCTTCCAGCAAAATGAGGAGCCACGTTTCTGAAACCAGCGACGAAGATGATTATAACAGCGACAGGGAATATATTCCCAAGCCTGTCAAACAAACTGAAAGGTAGGAATTTGTTAGTTGATTTTTTATTGTATAAAATAAGCAAAAAGTTTTATCTGTTGTGGCAACTTGAGTATTAATTTGATTCTCTTGTTGCTTATTTATTTTGGTAGAGTAGAAGTAGAAATTATTAGAGGTTTGTTTACAATTTTTTACAATGTGATTTTTTTTTAAAAATATTAGTGATGTGCCAAGTTATGTTCCATCATCAAAAAATAATAGTGAATCAGACTCGGAAAATATTCACTTGTCACCCGAAACCAACAAACAACAATTCATTATTACTTTGGATGGTATCGACAATGAAATGGCCCTTTTGGATAAGAAATTATCACTGCCAATTAAATCTAGGTAAATTTTTGCAAGTTTACCTTCGAATGATTTTTAAAATATTTATTTTTAATATTCTAGACTTGAGAAAAAACGTTCTCCGTCGCCTATTTTTTTTGACAAACCAAAAACCACTGAAATTAAAACAACTAGACCAGACATACCAGATAAGTTACCTGTGGTACGTCAGTTGGCTCTTAAAAACAAAGAAAGGTACCTACTTGAATTATTACAGTAGAAACTTTTTACTTATTGGATTTATTTGATTAGTTAATAGTTAAGGATCATAATGAATTATTTTGTTGTTACAGATGTAGATATTGGCCAGGCTGTAGGCAAGGCAACAAATGCGAATTTGTGCATCCATCTGAAACGTGCAAAACGTTTCCTCAATGCAAATTCGGTAACAAGTGCTTGTTTTTGCATCCTGTGTGTAAATTTGGTAGCTCTTGTACCAAGCGAGATTGTACTTATGATCACACTAAAACAACCAGTAAGAATTATATTAGTTTTGGTGCGTTATGTTTTTTAAGTATTTTATTTTTAGGTTCAAAATTAGTTTTGGGGCCTCTGTCGTCTGCTATGCAAACGTGCAAGTTTTTCCCCAACTGTGTAAATGCGCATTGTCCTTTTTTGCATCCAAAGCCTTGTAAATACGGAAAGTACTGCAAAAACACGGATTGTAGTTTTTCTCACGGTTTCACTAAAAACTTAAGTTGGAGATCCAAATAAAAGTTTATTTATTTTGTTATTCAATTTTGTGTGTTATTTTTTGTGTACATATATTTACTTATTTAAATTATATTCTGTTTTTGATGACTTCAAAAAACTTCATAGCTTAGTCAACATACTGGATTCTTGGAAATCAGCCTTTGAGAATCTTCAAAATCACAGAACAGCAAATTTTAAGTCCCAAGGTTCCAATACCTTTGCACGTTTTCTCTTCATAAGTTAAGATCTACTATCACTTCATAGAGGCAAAAACCAGAGTTCAGCTTGCTATAAGTTTTTTAGTTGTCTTTTTCAATAAATAGGCAAATGTTTTAGGTAATTTTAGAATAATTATGCGGAATTTTTTTTTTTTCATTTTAATTTTGTTTGAAAAATAAAGAGTTTTAATTGAAAAAATATGTTATCAATTTTTCACCTGGACTCTTCAAATTCAATGTTTCCCGAAATGAGTTGACAAATGATATGGACATATTTATAGAATAATATCAAGAGTTGAAAAGGTATAGGCAATTTCACTGTGATCTGCGGTCTAACGTGGCTCACTCTGAGTTTATATTTCCCCTATCAGTCCAGCCCGTCTGATGAAGGTGGAAATGAGTGTGGGGGAAGCATGCTTTATATATTTGGGAACAGCTGACCTCAGAAGTATCAACAACTGCAGTTCTTCTGTCTCAGGATAAGTTTCATCACCTGAGGCAATCTTAAATATACATTATTCAGATCCATGTATGCATGTAGTGCCATCCATCTTCCAAAAATGAACATTGGATTTTTCATGAAGCTTTTCACTCGGTTTTTCAAACTTGGGAGATTTCAAATGAAGATGTGTCTTATGAAACAAAACAAAAATTTCAACACAATATTAAAATCCACATTTATTTTTTTTAAGCTTACAAACTAAATAAATTTGCATAATAGTCAGATAAATAATAATATACAAAAATAAATACAAACTACAAGCCTGGAAACCTACAAAAGTAATATCGCATTATGACACAACAGTAATTTTAAGGAAATTTCTTGGCACTACATTAAAATATGAGATAAAAAAATTTATCAGATTATTTGTGGGAATGACTAATAATTTCTTAAGATTACACTGTCAAAAATGCCTTTTAGGAGGTCAAAAAATTAAACTATTATTGATAAAGTTCAAGGTTCAAGGCTATTCTCTCGATATGTCTTACTTAATATCAATACAAAATAAACACGTCCAAAGTTCAGAACTCTGGAATTACTTAATAGGTGGAGCTCAAGAATCGTTCAGTACAAAAAATTGAAACTTAATAAAAAAAGAAAGAGGGCTTGCAAGAAAACAAAGTTTTCAATCCACAAGCCCAAAAGTTAAAACTTAACTTTTTGTACCAAATGTCCTTTCTTTAGGAATTAATTTTTTTCATCCTGAACTTTGAATTCCAATCGAATTAAAAACATCTTACATCCAGATTTTTGCCTAAAAATTCCCTAAGATTTACAGAAGTTTCACCATAACTAGACTTATTACGGACCCTAAAGCGAGCCCGACTCCCAGAAAAACTGTTATCATTGCTGATGCAGCTTCTTTTTCAAAATCCTCAACTTTCCTACAAAAATCCAAACATATAAAAACATCTTTTATTGAAAAAAAAAAACTTACTTGGGTGCTAAGATTGCAGTTAAATTTGCTAAATAACCGTTACTCAGTGCCCCTAGGAAAACTATAATAATATACTGGTAATCTTTATTGAAAACTACAGCCCAATGGGATCTCGGTTGGGCATTGCACAGCATCATTAACGGAATGAAAACGAACCTTGCAAGGCTGAATATGAGAATAATGCTCTCGTTTCTAGGCTGTTGAAGCTTTCCAGCAGCAATCCTACCTAAATAATCCCCAGTACTGAAGAGTAAATAAGCAATTGTTGGTACAAAAAATACATCTAAAAAAAAATTCATTATAATTGTTGCAATAATTATTAAAGCATCAAATACCATTCCACTTATTTCCGTTGCCTCTCCCTTCAGATTCAATTAAAACAGTAACACCAGGGTAAACACTTAATGTAATAGCAAATACTAAAAACATTGAAACTCCATAAACCCAAATCTTTTTCAATATAATACTATGCGATACCAACTGTGCAGTAGATGTACTGCCAAACTCAGAAATACTAATAAATTTGTCTTCAATATGATACTAAAAGAAAGCAAAGTTAGACAAATATATGCACACATAAAATATTTCTTACTTTATAAAACACAGTTTTCGTCAATACAACGTAAGAAACTATTGATAGTGCAATGGTGACGTTGCCAATGATAAAATATACTAGCGCGGTGTGAGTCGAGGAAGCTCCAAGTGCTAGTGACACAATTTCGGCTAGGGCAGCAAAAATGCCACCCAAAGCTTGACCACCTACCACTGCTGTAATGTATTTAGGGGAAAAATTGCCTACTAAACCGAATACGCTTCCTTGAAGTATTGCACTTGCCACTACAAGAATTAAAGTTAACAAAGTCTACTTATTTTAATGAGGGGTTTTTACCATTTAACAAAACTACTGCTGTTAGAGTAATGAGAAAGAATAAGTACTGCCCTGTAAAAAAAAATAGTAAACTAAAAGTAAACTGCTAGATACTTGAACTTACACATACAGATTTTTAGACAAAAAGTTTTGGGCCTTTAATAGCCTATTTCTTCTGTATATTTCTCATAGGATCATGTTATGATATACGGGCCGATGAAATTGAATTTTGTCTAAAAATCTGTACGTGTAAGTTCAAGTGTTCAGCAGTTTATATGTATTTCAAATAAGTTGTCTTATGGGAAAAGGTCAAGTTAATTTTTATTTTTACCCTTTTACAAAACCAACATGATACAGTTATAAAACTAACTTATTATTGAACTAATTATTATAATACTGTTCTGCCTTAGCTTTGAATAATCATAATTTTTTTAGATAGATATTCTTATCCTAGTGAAGCAGTACAAACCCTGCAAAATTTTAGCTCATTTGGGTCTATAGTTCCAGAAATAAAATCGTGTTAAGCAATTTGGGGTGATTTATTAATTTTTCAGTTTTTCTGAGTGCCTTTTTTCATAGAATCCGGCTTCAAATCTCAGAATAATTTAGTGTATGGAGTTCGAGGGATCTCAACGGACCATTGGGACACAAAATCTCAACAAAAAAAATTGAAAATATCATTGTTTTGCTTAATGCTAATCAATAAATCCTGAAAGTTTGAAGTCCGTCTGATTGCCGGAAGGATTTTTCAGAAGCTTTCTCGGAAGCTTCCAAAGGTGACTTAATGGAAATTTTGAATGATTTTATCAAGGATATTATTGCATCTAAGTGAGAAAAAATCATAAATCCATTTCTGAGCCTGAGATCCATTTGGGCTTTGTTCTGTGTGGTACCTTCCCTTTTTAACGAAGTGTAATTTTTACGTTGTGATTTCAAGATAATTTAAAAAAACTATACATTTTTGTAAAGTAGAAAAATATGCATTCAGAGTATTGGGATCGAGTTCAGTATTGAATGCCTGGGTCTCGGCCTGGGTATCCACCGCTTTATGATTAGAAATTCCAGATAATTAAATTTTTAATAGCTTTGGCAAAGTGTTTATTTTCAACTGCAATACTATATTCTTTTGGGCACACTTTATTTGAAAATAAGCACTCTACCAGGGTTATTCAAAATTTAATAAAAATAAAGGTGTTCTTAAAAGTGGTCCTTATTTCGTTTTGACTAGTTTATAATTTCTGAAGAAGGAACAAAAAGCTCCAAAAGTTTGATTATGTAAAAGAGATTAACTTGACTGTTTCCCAATTATTCAAACATTCAATTATCAACGATTGTTATCTTTCAAAATAAATTTGTCTTACATTTATCTGTATCAATAAGGACAAATACCAAAGTAACTATCATAAGCAGCAAGATGCTGAGAAGAGATCCTAATATTCGTTTATTTGCCGAGATCCTGCAAACAAAGATTAAATTTATAATAATAATAATAATGATTCATACAATTACTATCACCAGAAATGGCATCGGCTTACCTCAAGGGCAAAAACAGTTTTCACTTACCTATGTGCTATGGCAGCATTCAAGATGAGAAACAGCAAATTTGGTACTGCTGAAGCAACACTAATATATGAAGTAAACTCTGCTTGTAGAGGAGTCTTATTTTTAACTTGACTGCCTGTTACAGTACTATTATGGATATTAGTGTCCCTAAACTTATACATCCAGTACTACAAAATGTTAATAGTTAATTATCAATCATTGAGGGATTACTTTACTTACATCATTTGCAGTAACGTAAAAGTTCCACGGTAGCAACGTCACAACTCCCAAAATATAAAAAATCCAATAGACCGTATACAATTTATCTCTGGGTTCGATGGGCTTGAATAAGGGCTTGTTGTCCCTTATAGCTAAGCTATCGTGGATGTCGTTCTCTTCATTGTCAGAGTCGATTTCTTGTAACAAAGGGGTCGTGTTAATCGAAACCATGATTGTTGCACAGAGACAATGAATTTTCAAATAACGATTACATTGTTGATTTGGTTAGAATTTTTTTTTTCTTAAGAAAGTCTTGACATTTTGTTGACCCCGAGGACTGTTTCTTAATCTAAACAATTCTTTGTATTAAACTTATAAATTATCTAATTATTATTTAATGATTTGATTTGATTAATCAACAAAGTCAGCTGATTGTCAAAAAAACTAGGTTAAGAAGTGCGTTCGAAATCGCCCTAGGGCGCGTTTGGGTTGACGATCGGTGCACTCAGAGCGTGCACTTTTGTCTCTCTTCCGTTATTTTTGAAGCTCCGACAACGCTTGATTGTGTTTGGTTTGACATATTTTGAGCGCTCCGAGCGAGCTCGATAAACTCCGAGTTTGTGGAGTGGGCAGCTGGAGCGTGCATGCGCAGATCAAATGTGTTTACTTTTAATTGAATTTTCTCGGTAGTCATCATTACTGGCATTATTGAACATATTTTTCCAAGGGAACTTGGCAGCCTCAGAGTGTTTAGGTCCATTTTATTGTTTATGTAGCACGATATTTCTAGCAGAACACAAAAGAAAATGGGGCTGTTTGAAAATTATCGACTAAAATAAAAAATAAACGAGAAAACTCTGGTGCGAATGCGGAGTGCGGGCTCGGACTCCAAAAAATATTTCCTAAAAAAATAAACAATAATCAGCTGATCGCTCAACTCAGCGCTTTTGCTCGAGTTTATTTGGCTTGACACGGTGTACCCCCTATGACGTCACGTTACTCCGTAATCGCTCTGCTCGCTCCGCCGAGCGTCAACCCAAACACGCCCCTAGGCGAGACACCGAGTGCACTGCACACCATGAATTATTTCATGGCTGGAGTGCGTTTAGAAATGCAGTATGAAGGTCAATGAGTGAAGGTAGAGTAGTTGTCAGAGTGTTCTGTCGTCATCACTTGGAGTGCGATCTAGGTGCTTTATTTCTGAACATATTGGGGCGTTGCGAAGGTTCGACATTTTTTGTTATTCTTTTATTTAAACTGAAATCGAGAGATTTTATTATTAGAAAACGATAAAAAAAGAATTGAGCGCAAGATATTCATATTTGCGTTTGTTGCGAGCAGTTAAAAATCAACGATATGCGCCAGGATAAAAAACGTACCTCTACGGGCCGGTTTCTCAATAGCTAAAGTGTGTTTTTTTTTTAAAGATAAAAGTCAAACTGACATTATATTGGCAATACAATGTAAAATTGTCAATGCTTTCAAATTTTTTATGTAGAAAAGGCTTGTGTTGCCAACATAGTTACTAAATTTTTGACTTGGGGAATTATCTTTAAAAAAAAAAAACAGATTTTATGGCCGTTTCCACCCAAGGATGATACATACTACTAAGGATGGCTTATCCTCATAAGGCCTGTGTGTAACAAATCCCCCCCTACCCCGCCTAGCCAAAAAAGCAGTTGTGACGTAGCATCATGGCGTTTTTCGCCTTGACGTAGGCTGTTTGCACCACAGGTTATGTTATGATCTGGCCGCTGGCTGGAAATTATGAAACTAGTTTCTAGTATAATTATAAGTCTAAAATTATAAAATTTTATCAGATACATATAATCATGACTTTTAATCATTACTGTTGTGTTCCTCAGTGCAAGTCTTGGGCTAAAAAAAAAAGCTGACAAAGGATTGAGTTTTTACATATTTCCCCTTGAAACAGGCCACACAGGTTTATTTGGAATCGAAAATGGAAAAAGAGTTAGTGTCGAGAAGAAAAGTCTACTGGATTTTAAAACTTCGTATTGGCAAACCAGTCACCAAATTCATGAAAGTGTATTCTCTGCATCTCAAGCAAGAATTTTGTGTTAAGGTAAACAAGCATAATGGGTAGTTTTGTGCCCTAGCTTCATTTTATTAGGCCTGCTTCTAGGCATTGATCAAGTACTATCTATTTTTAAAATGTTTTGTTTGAAAATATTGACTGTTTTTTTTATTTACAGGTGAGAGTACAGGTCTTAGAGGTACAGGTAGAGGTCGGATATTGAAAAAAACAGTTGTACCATCCCAGAATTTGCCCTCTTCTATAGTGATCCATAAACCGAGCCAAAAAATAGATTCCATGGGTGCTGAAAAACTTGCCGAAAGAAAAAGAAATCAAGATTCTATTGAGACTATACAAGTAATGAATGTAGTTATACTTTTAATCAATTATTGAACTCTTCTCAGATAGACATACAAACGGCTGAGCAAACAGCACAACGTGTAAAGTTTTTATTGAATCCTAATTACCAGTATTATATTGTTATAGGTAGTTCGAGTAAAAATCAGATTTGTGTTCAAGTTATTTGACTTTGTTAATTTAATTTTCACCTATTAATAATTAAAAATAAAGAGTTATTTATAAAATATTTATTTATTTATTACATATACAAGTTATTCAAATACAGACATTATAAGGGAGATACCATACCTGCCTTTAGACCCTTTTGGCAATGTCCTATTGTAGAAAGTTTACAAAAATATAAGAAAAAGATCCGGTTAGGCTGTTGTATGGATATAATCATTTCGGATCAGGTAAACGAAATAGATTATAATGAATTTTGGTCTGCATCATCACGAGCAGCATTATGGGTGAAAATTATTACCCAGTGTGAAACTTTCAAGAACAGTGAATAAATAAGTCGATATTGCATTTACAGCACATTGTTCTTCCTCGGCTGCTACAGTTTTGACCACCACATCGTTTTTTTTACGTTCAGGAAAAGTGTTTGAATGATGATGCAGTCCATAATACCTTATATCATTATTGACTCAAAAATCACTTGCTGCAGCCCGAAGCATATTCTTCTGTAACGCAAGGTGGTACTTTATATTTCCTCGGGTATGTCTGAAAATAAAAATAAAGTTAAAATTGTATGATTTCTCAAAAAATTGTTAATTCTGCTCTACCTGTGATATATTATTTCCCATTCGAATAAACAATTTTTGCACTAGCACAAAGTTGCCTAGTAGATAGGTCAGCTAAACCACGTTCCTCATCTGTTGAATCTTAGTCAGTGAGCTCTTTGCTTTCTGTGTGGGCTCAATAATATGTCATCAACATTTTCATTATCATAAGCAGTATTCAAAACATCCTGATGGCTAATTCCACTAAAACAAAATGTACAGCTAAAAATGTTAGCTACTGCCCAGGCCCATATGCCATATGGACAGTAATGTTTACAAGAATATAATACATAAACAAACGATCAATTTATGCTCGAATAGGAATATGTTTTTATAATAATATGAGAAAACCCTAAAAACAATTAAATAGTATAGAATAAATTATCTTATAGTTATTATACTCACATATAGAAATGTAAACAAAACGCCGCGTAATTCTTCTAGGGCTCCATTAAATCATACATGCTGAAAACGTGTAAATAGGCGGAATGACGAAAGCTAGCCAAATATCGAAATATCGCGCTCAGATCGCACTTTTGACCTTGATGTTTATTGGTTCCGTCATAGGGTACCTTTACGCGCTATAATGGTTAATCAGAATCAAAATAATATATTTTTCATGACAAATTTATAAATTTATAAAACCGCTGGCGCAAACAGCTGGCGACTTAGTTATGACGTCAGCAGTGGTTGGAAACATTTGAAAACCAATATGGCGGCGATTACCCAAAAAGGGGCCGATAAGCACTCCTTAGAAAGTTTATTCTCCTTGGTTTCCACCAACCATTTTAGGGGAGCCCTAACGATAAGTATTCCCTAAAATGACATTTTTACATGGAGAAATGTCAGTTTAAGGCATACCTATCGTTAGGGCTTCCCTAAATTAGTTAGTGGAAATGGCCATTACTCACCTTACAGTGAACTCACCTCCGGGGGTGCGTTCAAAGACGGCAATGCTAATGCCAAAACCTACTTTTCCCCCTCCACCAGGGCTGCGTTCAGGAATGGCTACAGCCAAGCCAAAATTGGTATTTTGCGTTCGAATTCGGCTCCAACCTACGTGGTTCGGCATTACCGGTAGAGGGCGGTAGAGGGGGAAAAATAGGTTTTGGCTTTAGCATTGCCGTTCTTGAACGCACCCCAGTAATGCCGAACCACGTAGGTCGGAGCCGAACTCGAACGCAAAATGCCAATTTTGGCTTGGCTGTAGCCATTCCTGAACGCAGCCCGGGTTAGTTTTAACTCCAGGGTAAGCGTGTCCAGTTCCTATGTTTACCCTGGAGTTATCCCTAACCCGGGGATGACCTGCTATTGAGAAACCGGCCCTACGCGAGACTATGCTGCATGACGTCAGTAGCCAGGTAGCCAGGTACGCTACGTGAATTCAAATACCCTCCGTATCGGCCTTTACGCAAACGCTGATCGATTAACCCAATCACCACCTGATGTAATTTGTCTTTTTTCAGTCGTGTTCATCGAAGAAAGATGAAAAACAGACAGCATGTGATCGGATCAGCGTTTCCGTAAAGGCTTAAGCCTAGTACTCATAACTGCGAAATTCGCATTTTTTTGACATTACGTTGACAATTTGACGTTTTATGCGGGTATCAAACGTCAAATTGTCGAAGCAATATTAAAATAATGCGAATTTCGCAGTTATGAGTACTAGGCTTTATACGGAAAGTATACGAATTCATGTGGCGTGCCGGCTACTGACGTCACGCGGCCTAGTCTCGCGTAAAGGTACGTTTTTTATCCTGCACCGATCGTTGATTTTTAACTGCTCATAAAAACGCAAATTATATTTTGAGCTCAAATTTTTTTTAATCGTTTTTTAATAACAAAATCCTTCGATTTCAGTTAAAATAAAAAAATGTCGAATCTGCCTATTACTTTTTGCCTGTCAACTATTTGTCAAAGTCAATCCAGAGAAAAGAAAAGGGCGCCAAGATGTCAAAAATTATGAAACTATAACCTCACTATTGTTGTCTTGTTACTTGTTAGTTGTTTTTTCTGTGCATGTCTTCGCGGCTTGCCCGTTTATCTTTTTATGAATTTATGACTCATAATCCATTCCTTATTTAATCAAAATCAAAACATTCACATTCAAATAACCTAAAGTATAATTAGTAATAAGCCATGAGTGTCACGACGGAAATATTAGGGGTTCCCGTGATTTTTCCATTCCAACCCTACGACATCCAGAAGGATTACATGGAAAAAGTCATAGAATGTCTTCAAAAGGAAACGACGGCCGTTTTGGAGAGCCCCACCGGTACTGGTAAGACTCTGTCGTTGTTGTGCAGCTCTTTGGCCTGGCTGCAACTGAAAAAAGCACAAATTCAGGTAAGAATTGGAAACCAGAGACAAAATCAATATTTTCCTTTCCTGGTAGTCGTTTGTGATTTCCGTGACTGCCTTAACAATTCAAGGGGCTTCTATTAAAACTATTAAGTATTCAATAAGCTTTGTAGAGAATTTAATTGGCTTTAATCAAGAGGTAAACCGTCAATGTATTGGCCCTATGTATTCTTATGTATTCATAATATATACTCTATACTCCTATGTATTCTCATATATTCAACGTATCTTCAAGTGTATTCCTTCAAAACTCTACTGTTTAAGCGCGTACTCACAACTATTTTAAGTTGTGATTATCTGCATCACACATATTGAATCAAAATATTCTACCTTATGATTTAAATTTTTAAAAACTTTGAAAAATCATAACTTTTCTATTATAGATAGAAAACTGAAATTTTCAGTGGTTCTTATCCTAGTAGAGGACTAAAAACCCTGTAAAATTTCAACTCATTTGGACTTATAGCTCCTGAGAAAAAATCGTTTTAAGCAGTTTGGGGTGAATCCTTTTCTTGAAGATTTCGGCCACAAATCCCACAATAAATCACTGTATGGAGCAAGCCTTGAAGTTTCTGGGGTCCTGATTGATCGTCTTAAGTGAAAATCTCCACAAAAAAAATAAAATAAATTATGATGATTTAAATCAAGATGATTGATTGATCATTGATTTAAATCACCCACATAAATTGTGATTTAAATCACACACTAGGTACATGTAGGTATAACGAATCAACACAGTCTACCAGAAGGTGAAAATGAAACTGATGAGAAAAAAATAGAGTTTTGACACCAGACGAAACTGAAGAAAGACAAAGAGCATTGGAATGTGCAGAAGAAAATTTTTCGCTAGCATGTACTGCGATTCATCAGATCAAAAATATTGGTTTTAGAGAGATCGCATATTTGTGGTTTGAATCCAACTTTGAAGGGAGGGAGCAATGGGTTAGGATAGGCAGTGAAGAGTCATCTCTGTTGCTATTGAAATCTGGCGTTCCTCAGGGGTCAGTATTAGGTCCAGTTTTATTTCATATGTTCCTGAATGACATAAGTTATCTACCCATCAGAGCTAAACTTACTTCTTTTGCTGATGATAACACCTTTACTTGGTAGCTCGCTTAGCAGGGAAGGAATGTTGATGATTTAAAGAAAGTTATATCAGAGGATCTGAAGCTCATCAAGGAATGGTGTGACGCAAACTTACTCTGCTTTAACACTAAAAAACCAATGTAGTAACTTTCAAATTCACGAATAATGATTTGGTTTTGGAAGCACAGCCAATTCAAAACAAAACAAGTTGTAGGTTCTTGCCTGGGTTCTTGGGCATCCATGTGGACAACACATCTTAAGTTTAATGAGCATGTCAAAATCTTAAATAAAAAATTGGCCAGTGGCTGCTATGCAGGTAGAATAGTGGTGAATGAACTAGGTTTGGATACTGCGAAATTGGTATACTTTTCGCTGGTAGAATCGCACATTAGATATGCCATTTCATTCTTGGGTAATTGCTCAGATGGGCTGTTTGAGTCTGTTTTTGTTCTTCCGAAACGAGCTTTAAGGTATTTGTGTAGGGTTGGATACCAACATCACTGTAAACCACTGTTCACCCAGCATAAAATTTCAACAGTTTGCTGCTTATTTATCCTTGAGTCAGCCTGCCTAATACACTAATACCGCTACAGTAATCTAAACAATTCAGCAACGATTGCAGATTCCAACATCTATCCCAAAATCAGCTCTGACCCGAAACTCTATAATTTTTAAAAGTAGACAGATTTTCAATCATCTTCCAGCAAACTTAAGGAAAATTGCAGTTCTTCAAAAATTCAGGCTTGCGGTAAAAACTTTTTTGTGTGGTAAAGCCTCTTAGAAACTAAACGACTATTTTAATGAAAGATATTAATTTTAATAATATTATTACACCCTTATTATAATATTATCCTTCCATTTTTATTTTTATTTCATTTTATTTTTTATAGGTTGTTGAATTAAGACTTTAAATACCTTTATATATTAGGGATAATCTAAGATTTAGACCATAAGCATGCTTTGTCAATGAAATTTTATTTCAGACAATGAAGTATATTTTGATTGATTGATTGAAAATGAATGAAAAAAAATAATTTCACTTAAACAAGGTGGGCAATAAAAAAAGTTACAGTAAAATATGAATTGGTTTTAAATGAGACACCCTATATATTATAAGTCTATTCTCACCTCGGTTCTCACAGAAATCACAATTCAGTCAGAGCGAATTTTAGGCCAAGGCATTTAGCGAAATAACAGCCATATTTTAACATAGAATTTAACAGTAAACTATCGATGCAATATTGTTAAGGATCATTTATAGATGCTAAAAACCAAAAATGTAACATCTAATTACTTTTAGGGGATTTTCTAAACAATATTCAGTGCAAAAATAGGGCTTTTTTTTTTTATTTCACTGTATTTCGAAAACGACGAAAACTAATGATCGGATGGTTTTGCTACTGTGGCAATTGTTTTAGAGCATTGAACAAGCTTTAAAATGAGCCATCATACAACCCTGTAGGTCTTTTAGTCTTCGAGAAATGATTTTCCCCCCAAAAAAGAGATTTTCGTAAAAAATTCCTAACTTTTTTAATTTTCATGCTAGACAATTAATTTTTTACACATACATAGTAGATTAGGCAGGCTTTATTGAGCCCAAATTTGGGCCCAGTCCGATGGGTCGTTTCGGCATAATACCCTTGTCAAGCAAAATGGGGATGTTTCTAAAGCAGTCTGTCGATTTGAGGATATTTTTTTTATATTTATTTTGAAAAGTCCACTGATAAGTCGAAATGCCAAACTATCGATCCTCTATCTCAGATTTTCCATTTAATTTTTTTATCGCAAGTAAAACGGCTTCGAACATGACTGAAAATGGAAAAAATTGACGGGAATTCAAACAGAGTGACAGCGAGCTCCCCCTCCCCCCCGCCCATGCAAATTAATTTTTTTTTTCATTTTCAGTGATGTTTGGAGCCGTTTTACTTGCGATAGAAAAATTAAATGGAAAATCTGAGATAGAGGTTCGATAGTTTGGCATTTCGACTTATCAGTGGACTTTTCAAAATAAATATAAAAAAATTATCCTCAATTCGACAGACTGCTTTAGAAACATCCCCATTTTGCTTGACAAGGGTATTATGCCGAAACGACCCATCGGACCGGGCCCAAATTTGGGCTCAATAAAGCCTGCCTCATCTACTATGTATGTGTAAAAAATTAATTGTCTAGCATGAAAATTAAAAAAGTTAGGAATTTTTTACGAAAATCTCTTTTTTGTCATACGCTCCCAAAAACAGCTATTTTACGGACTCATTTAAGTCTGTAAAATGCTTCTTTTTAGGATTTTTTTTTCTTTCTAAATGCACCTTTATGATTTCAAAAATATAGGAAATGCAAATTTTAGCGTTCTGAAGAATTCTAATAAGCGTATGACAAAAAATAGTGTTTGTCACACGTACCTAACGAAGTTTTTCAGGACTCATCTGCTATTCCGGACTCGGCTAACGCCTCGTCCGGAAACAGCAATGATTCGTCCTGAAAAACTTCATTTTAGGTACTTGTGACAAAAATACCTAACTATTTTGGGGGGAAAAAAAATCATTTCTCGAAGACCAAAAGACCTACAGGGTTGTATGATGGCTCATTTTAAAGCTTGTTCAATGCTCTAAAACTGTTGCCACAGTAGCAAAACCATCCGATCATTAGTTTTCGAAATAAAGCAAAATAAACAAAAAAAAGCCCTATTTTTGCACTAAATATTGTTTATAAAATCCCCTAAAAGTAATTAGATGTTGCATTTTTGGTTTTTAGCATCTATAAATGATCCTTAACAATACTGCATCGATAGTTTGCTGTTAAATTTTATGTTACGAAAAAATTTATCTGCCCTGGCCTATTTGATTAATTGAAAATAGTCAGGAAACTGGTTGTTGGCAATTTGCACAAATCAAATGTCAATGCAGCAATTAATCCAATAATTAATCTGCCTGTAAAAGAAGACATTATGCAGCTCATGACAACAGTTGCATCATCAGCAAGTGTGGAACGCGTTTCTCAAACTTTGGTATGGTACACAGTGGTATGAGAAATCGATTGGAGGTTGACAATATGATAGATACCTTTAAGACTTCTTTATTGTTAATTGATTTTATTTCTTCATTTCCCAAAATATTTGATCACAATTAATTCAAATTGATTTAAATCAAAAAAATCATGATTTAGTAATATGATAATAATACATCATCCAATAGCAGGCGGTAAAATCGTCGAAAATCGATGAAGCTATTGTTACTTCTTCGAGTTATGTTTAGTCTCATAATTATTTTATTTTATTTTTCATTTTTTTTCACTAGGCATTGTAATGTAGTATTCTTTCTGCATTTTTTTTTTGGTTCCAAGTCCAATCTTTTTTTAAAATCATTTATGTTACTGGCAGATGTCTTGAAGGTTTCAATCAGATCTCTCTCAATGTGCCTACTTTCTCCTAATGTTGTTAATCGGAATCTCTCCAGTCTCTCGGGATACCTTTATTCTCTTATTTTTGATGGTATCTTGGTTACCCTCCTCAGTATTTTTTCTAAGATTTCTATGCCCTTGATAAAATACGAATTGCAAACTGTGTAGGCATATTCAACATTAGGCCTGTCGAAGCTTTTGTACAGTTTGCCCTCGAGTTTGCCTATTTCGATGAAGTCTTTGAAAGCATGTTTAATCAGACAAAATGTACTGGCTTTTTTGGCTATTTTTACAATGTGGTTTTTTCATTTCAAGTCTGATGTTACTAGGACTCCGAGATCATTTTGCTCAGTGACAGTTGTTAGTGCTGTGTTATTCAGAACATATTCTTCATTGGGATTATTTGGGCCGATTCTAAGCACTGTGCATTTTGACTCGCTGAGTTTCATACTGGGCTGGAGCTTGCCCATATTTCAACATTATGTAAGTCTGCTTTTAGTTGTGCTACATTAAGAAGAGGCGTATAGTTTTCCGTCGTCCGCAAAACTTGTCATTTTTGTTTCAATATAATTGACAAGATCAAACAGGTATGTTAAAAAGAGCAAGAGGCTCAGAACCGATCCCTGGACAACTCACTCCTCACAAAGTATTGCCTTGAAATTGTTCCATTGACTCGCACTTGGTAGTATCTTTCATAAAGATCTGTGATTGGTATCAACAGCCTTTCCTGTACCCCAAAATGCTCTCATTTTCCAAGCAACAGGTTATGTGGCACTTCATCAAAAGCCTTTTCATAATCGAGACAATATAATATCAGTGGGCTTATGGTTGTCATGGTTTTCTGTCCAATCATTAAGACTCTCGAGTAGGTTGGTGACAGTGGAGCATCTTGATAGAAACCCATGCTGTGATGGTGGTATTAAGTTGTTCTCAATAAAAAAGTTGTTAACTCCTCGACTATGACCCTTTCCATGTATTTTAATGGGCTACATGTTATACTTATGGGTCAGTAATTTCCCCGTTTGTGTCTGTTGCCTTTTTTAAAGGTAAAGGGTCACAATAGAGAGCTTCCATTTCTCTGGTATGCATCCCAAGTCGACACATTCCTGCATTACCCCAGAGCCTGGCCCTGGACTTGAGGCCTATTTCATCTTATTTAGGGCTCTTTTAGCTTTTTCTTCTGTGAATTCTATGGTGTTCATCGAATTCCAGACTCTGGTATTTGCAGGCAGGGGTGGAAAATATAAGTACTGCTGTTGGGTGAAGGATTTGTCAAATTGTTCAGCAAATCTTTCAGTCATGGCTTCATTGTCTAAAACTTCTTGAGTTATTGAATCTTTAAGTGATATTGTTGACACCTTAAAGTTCAAGTTTCTACTTATATATTTGATGATTCTTTTTGGTGAATTTGCTGTAACTAAGCCATGCCCATATGCTCTCCTAGCCTCGGCAAATTTTTGTTTGAGTGTGTTATTTTGGCTCATATAGGCCTGGTAGTTTTCATCAGATTTGTTGTTTTTGTATTTATCTCAAAGTTTGCGTTTTTTGCTGATTTGTTTAAAAAGTTTTTCATTAATCTATGGCCTTTGCTGGTTTGCCTTCACACACTTGACTGGAATACATTGTTCTATAGCCCCACTTAAGATCATCTCAAAGCTTTCAAATCTTGTGAAGCCAATGATGGTTTCAGGATGATGTCTAATATAGTTGTTTATCTCATCATAGTTGGCTGTATAGAAATTTCTTTTGTTTTGATGGAAACCTAATGTTGATATCTACATGATCGCTACCCCCAACAGGTGGCTCCGATTTCAAATCAAAAACAGTTTTCCGATCGCTGCACAAAAACAGATCCAACAGCGAGCTTTGATTGTTCCTATATCGTGTTGGAAAGTTAATTATCAAGGTTAATATACATTGGTTTCTTGGGTACATATCCATAAAGTCTTGTGCTCTTTTTTCAGCTAGAAATATTGATAGGTTATCCCAGTTTATGTTGGGGTAGTTAAAATAGTTGAAATCTCCTAAAACGAATGAAAGGTTTCTAGATGCAAATGCCTTGCATGTAGTGCCTATCATCTGGGTGTTGACTGGCTCAGTTGTTGTGCTACCTGGCCTGTAAATACATGTCTCCAATTGTCCAATTGGATATCTAGCAATACAGCATTAACAGGTGCTTCTATTTGGTAGGTTTGAGAGAGGCTGCATTTCAGTTTGTACCCGCTGACTTGGTTTTTGATAAGTATGCACACTCCTCCCCCTTTTTGATGTGGACGGTTCTCTTGAAAGATACTGTAACAATTAAGACTCACAAGACTATCATCTCTTTCTGAGAGGTTAATTAGTGTTGGACATGCAGTCAAAACCGTCGCCTTCCACTCATCAATTTTGTTTACAACTGAAGTCATGAATGAGATTTCAACTACCTCTGCTTCCTTTTTTGGATTTTTCCTCGAATTTGACAATTATCCTGGGGTACTTTTTTTCAAAGAATTCGGCTTCAAATGCCACAGTAAATTACTGTATGGAGTTTCTGTGGCCCCAATTGATCGTCTAAAGTGGAAATCTTGACAAAAAAAAATTGAAATTTGACAATTTTGGAAGGACATGAATTTTTGAAAACTTTGAATAATCATAACTTTTTTTTCTATCAGATAGAAAGCTGCAATTATCAACGGTTCTTATCCTAGTAGAGGACTACAAACTCTGCAAAATTTCACTACTTTGAGAATTTTCCATATGTTAGATCTGATTTGTGCGTCAACTTTGCTAATATATAAAGACTCCAAAAATTATCTTGTGGGCAGTTTAAAAAATATACATAAAGTAGCAACTAATATAAATTCTTCTCAACAACTACAATTCCTCTTATTAAATTTGTAGGCCAAAAATCAAGTTGCACAAACTGACTTGTTAAATAACATTGCAAGTGCACTTGTAGATGTTAATGAAAAAGCTGATAATCTAGCCACCGGACGCGACTTCTTAGCCTTGCCCACTATAATCTATGCATCAAGGTACTAATCCCAAAATATCAATAAATAAAAAATAACAATTTTGTTTGTAGGACCCACTCTCAATTAACGCAGGCTGTACAAGAATTAAGACGAACAGCCTACAATCACATGCATAGTTCTGTGCTTGGTTCTAGAGAACAGCTTTGTATCCATCCAGAAATTTTGAGTGAACAAGATAGATCAGTGAGGTTGCACATGTGTCAACTAAAAGTTAAAACTCGCGCTTGCCACTACAATAATCGGGTGGAGAGAATGAAAGACAGTCCAGAAATTTGTAATGTTCCAATTATCGATATAGAAGACATGGTAAAGATGGGAAATAAGCACACTTTTTGTCCTTACTATATGACCAAAGAACGACAACGTAACGCTGATATAATTTTCACTCCCTATAATTATTTATTGGATCCAGTCGCCAGAAAAGCTTTGGGCTTGAATCTGTCAAATGCTGTTGTAATATTAGATGAGGGCCATAATGTAGAGAAAGTGTGCGAAGAGTCGGCTTCTTTTGACTTGAAGTCGACCGACATTGCTTTAATAATCGATGAAACCACTAATGTAATGAAAATGATTTCCGAAGCACCGGGTTTATTTGAGGAAAGCACAAAGGGCGACATCGATCCAGACGAATTGGCTAACTTTAAATCGCAGTTGTTGGATTTCGAAAAAGCGTTAGACGCGGTACCTTTGAGTACATCAACTGAAGTTACCCACTTTCCGGGGGATTATATTTTTGAATTATTAGAGAAAGCACAAATTAAAAGTCAAAATGCTGGGAATATTATACTGATGTTAGATAAGATGATTCAGTTTTTGACAGCTCAAAACGATAACAGCCCTTTCGCTAGGAAGGGTAAAGGATTGCAAATTTTCAATGATTTTCTTCTGGTTGTATTCCAAAGCAAAGGTAGGTACAAATTGAATAGGTAATAGGCATGATGGATAGCTCTACAAAAGTATCACACTTGTGCAGAATGTGCAAGCATTATTTTTGTACAACTATCCAGTTAAAATTTTATCAGGTACTAAGTTTTATCTTGTCTAGTTTCCAAGGAGAAAATCAAAGAATGTTACAAAGTCCATGTAAAGGAAGAGGAGCCACAATATAAAAGTCCTAGAGTGTCAACGTGGCTCGAGAAAAAAACAACTGTTGCCAAATCGAGAACTCTGAGCTTTTGGTGCTTCAATCCTGGATTTGGGTAAGAATTTTAGTAATATGTATTTGATAGTTTCACTAGAGTATCTATTATAGTCAAATTCAAGGTAACTATAAGCAGGATTTATGAGCGGTTTCAAAGTTACTAAAGTAACTATAGAGAGATTTAAATTTCTGGTTCTTGAAATTTTATTTTTTCTCAAAATTCTTCAAAAGATTTTCCAAAAATGGCGTAAATATGAAAGCCTGGAATAAAAAAACCAGGACATTTTCTTTATTTAGGGAAATTTGATGGAAACAGAAATTCAAGAGCCACACAAAAAAATGGATACTGAAAATTCGTGAAGAAACAGCATAAAAACGATTTTCAAGCCAACAAGAAAAATACAGCAATCAATCAGATCAGCCCAAGGATAAGAGGAACAGAGGAACCCACTGTCAAGCGCTGGAGTCTATCGTATACCATGCACATGTGGTAAGGTATACATAGGAATAATGAAAAGATCCATGGGAACCAGGATTAACGAGCATAATAAAGCACACATTTAGAATCCTGCATAAGAAAAAAATTGGGATGAAATTATTAAGAAACGGGAAGCGGATTTTCTTTTCTGTTATAGGCTTCTGGAGTTCCTTTATTTCTTCTACTTATAGTTATTTTGTATTTGAATATTTTAGTAACTTAATCTCTAATAACTATTAACGTTAAAGTATCCTGAGAGATCTGAGTTTTTTTAATATAAGTTTGTACAATAAAACACACCTAACTCATTATGGAAAAACTTGAAAATAAATACAGAACAATTTTCTTAGTATGGACTATTTGGTGTCGCAAGGTATCAGAGCTATGATTTTGACTAGTGGAACCTTGGCGCCTTTGAAACCCCTAATATCTGAGCTAGAGTTAGACGTAAAAGTTAGACTAGAGAATCCTCACATTGTCAAGGATAATCAGATTTTAGTGAGGATTTTGCCTATGGGGCCGAGCGGCGAAGCTCTCAACAGCAGCTACAGAAACAGGTAAAATTTGTGCCTGTATTATAGTTTTTATTGTTTTTCGGTCAATTTTAGGGATAACCCAAATTATGTTGCCGCCCTAGGCAGAGTGCTAGTTAATTTAACCTCCATTATTCCCAATGGAGTGCTTATATTTTTCCCTTCGTATCCTATCATGCTAAAATGTAAAACTTTTTGGGAACAGAATGGTACTTGGGGCGATATTTATTCTCAAAAAGTAAAAAAAAAGCTAATTGATAAAACAATTATTTAATTCTATGTTTCATTTAGGCGATATTTGTAGAACCAAAAGGTAAGGATGCTTTTCACGATGCAATGACTGGTTACTATGAAAAAGTGCGAGATCCCAACTTAAGAGGAGCCATTTTCATGGGAGTTTGCAGAGGAAAAGTATCAGAAGGTGAATCGTTATACAAACAAACACATATAAAAAATAATTGTCTTATTGATAACAGGTTTGGATTTTGCTGACGCCAACGGCCGTGCAGTAATAATCACTGGATTACCTTATCCCCCTTTAAAAGACGCCAGAGTGATATTGAAAAGGCGCTATTTGGATACGTGCCATGCTCGCGACAGGGAGTATTTAAATGGACAAGACTGGTATAATCTGGAAGCTTCCAGGGCAGTCAATCAGGCTATTGGTCGTGTAATTCGGCATAGATACGATTACGGAGCCATTATATTGCTGGACGAACGCTTCAGGGGTGCTACAATTATGAATCAAATGTCTAAATGGCTCAGAGACCATATTAAAGTTGTGGATAGATATGGGTTGATTATTAGGGATCTGTCTCAGTTTTTTAAGAAGGCTCAAAGTGATGTATGGCAAATTTTTATTTATTAGGGTATAATTTTTAATTGGTAAAACTTATACCTACAGCTGCCTTGTCCAGTAATGAAACCTGTGCAGCCTCCAAAAGCAGTATTCGAGATGCCTCGCACCTATAAAAAAGAATCAAGTTTCGATTGGAATTCCCCTTCTTCAAGTACTAGCGACATTGAAAAAAGTCAATGTAGTGGATGTAGTAGTGACAGTGATATGGATAAATATTTGGGTAATAGTTTTTTTTAAGGCATACAATTTTGGTTTTGAACAAATATTTCTAGAAATGAATAAAAAGATACTTAGAGAAAGTTGCCGTGAGGAGCTTCTAATGAACACAAACAAAAAACGCAAATATCGTCTAAACCAAAATCCTAGTGGTCCCGATCCTGAGCCAGATCCGGTAAATGCTGCCCTGAAAGAATACGTGTTGATGGTACTTTTATCCATATTTATTTATTGGTTAATTTTTTGGTAGCAATTAATTTTCTGGTTATTGCAGAATTACTAACGGCTATATATTTTTTTTCAAGGTAAAAGAAAAATTGGCCGGTGATTTTGTCGCATTCGCAGAGCTACTACGACAGTTTCGCGAAACCAAAGACATTGAAATCTTTATAAAGCAAGTTGATTCTCTGATACCGCGCGATCTCAAATATATCCTTTGTGGACTGTACCCCTTTATTCAAACAAACCAGAAGCAGATTTTTGGGAGGTTTCTACTTAGAAACAATTTGCGTATACCCGAGGATTTGTAAAATTCCTGGCGGGCGATTATTTAAGTTTATTTTTTCTACTTTGTTTACTATTATTATGAATAATTACTTTATTGCCAATTAGTTCTAGTGTTTTATTTTTGTTCATTGTGAATTTGAATTATTAATTTTGTTGAAAAGTTATAGGCTTCAATTGCCCTGAAATGATGAGGTTACTTGAAGCTATCTTTGCAAACAAGGTGGAATTTCGCTATAGGCTATATCGTGTTTTTTACATGCCTTTGTCTGGAGGATTTACATACTAGAGGGTCATTTACCAGGACTTGTATTCTCTTCTAAAGAAAAATAAATAGTAAAAATTCAGTTCTCAAAGTGGCAAACAAACCTATTCATAACTTTCTTGAAAAAATTAAGTTTTGGTTTTGTCTATACCAGCAGCTCTCTCACCATGAGCTCCCAAAACAGACAATCCAGCCCAGTAAATAATGGAATAAGGGGTAAAATACCTCCTGTGTTAATTCATCTGAATACTGAATATGATATTTTTGTCAATAAAAATTCAGAGACATTAGGACCTTCTCAAAGTCCCTTATTATTTCTTTGATTTACTTTATTTTACACTATTGCTGGCTCTCAAGATTCTTCTATGGAGAAAGATTTCTAGCCGTATTCAAATTAAAAGCGCATCTACCTGAACCAGTGTATTATTTTTGAATTCACTTTGTCAATTCTGACATGATAAGTTTCACTATAAAATTTCTCCTGGCCTTTTCCATAAAACCCAAAGTAGAAAAGAAGAAGCCCGACAAAGTACCGACCAACGAGAAAAAATCGAAACCCAGCAAACCGAACGTCGATGAGGATCCACCGTACTTGATCAGACTGGGAAAAACGTTTTCTAGCGCGCATATTGAATATGAAATCTTGCCAGGAAAACTTAAATCGTATCAGATTGATGTTTTGTGTTGGCCCAATGCAGCGAAAGTGAGTAAAAAATGGAAAATATTAGTCTTTGTCTACTTGTTTTCAGATTTACACTGTCGACAGCGTTAAATTATTTAAAACTATTACAAAAAACGGATTGACTTTTGTCCCAATTTGTATTCAACATTTTCTAAAAGAGCTCACCTTCGACGAGCTGATGATTTTACGCAAAAGTGTCATAGACTTCAATATTTTTACTGACAAAAATAAATTAGGAAATGCGTAAGTATATTCACCAATTTAAAGCAAAAATGTAATTCATAGTTTTATTTTTAGAGCAAAATCAAATAAAACTGAACTGATATACATAAGATCTATAGACATAGGCCATGATGGTTTTGTAGATGGTTTTGCAGAAAATCTAAATAAGTCGAGCTTCATGAAAAAATCTTCAGGCACTGATGATGACGAATTAGTATCACATATAAGTTCTTCTTCAAAAGTTGAAGTCTATTCTAGAATGAAGTTCGAAAAAGATTTTGCAGAAGTTTTGTTTCCAATAGTTGACAATGAGAATTCAATGCATTTTCAAGATTTTATTAGAGCATGTGATGCCTCAGTACCCGAAACAATTACGAAAAAAACTGACATTAAAAAGTCTACTAAATCTGATAAAGTACCAGGAAAGCTCACTTTGCAAATGCAAGGGGAAATTTTCTTTACAGACAATAATGCAATATTCAAAATAGAAAATTCTAAATCAGACATACACAAAATGTTTGTTCTGCCAAAAGTGGAAGACTTACTAACCAGAAATCAAAAGATGCACTTGAACCCTGTTATAATCAATATAGAATCTATTGAAAATTTTCCAGTAGAAGTTTTCCAAAATACAGATTTCACCGATATTTATTGCAAATATACAATCCCTTATATTGGAGAGTGTAAAACTATTGAAAAACCATTAGGCAAAACCATTACATTTATGGAATCTCACTTTTTTCCTACGCACGACTTACCAAAAATAAAACTTATAGAATTCCTAGTCTCAAGACTCCTTCTTGTAAACATTTATGGTATAAAAAGATATCAGCAAGCGGAAGAAGATCCTAAAATGTTTGGCGAAAAGCAAGAAGACTTTCAAATATCCAAAATCAATGCTGGTGGTAAGCGGTGTCTCAAAGCTGAAGAAAACCTCAAAACCAAAAACGTCTTATTGGCTCAATGTCGCTTCGATTTGAGTAGTTTAATGAAAAACATTTGGGAATATAGAGGCACCGCTCAATTGACCATCAACACTCGATCAGAGGCAAAAGATTTATCTCAAATTCAAACCAACGAAGATCCGTTTTGTGAATTTTGGTCTCATTACGGCTTCTCATTGAACGAGATTAACTTGACAGGAATTTCCAGCACCAATAATTCGCCACTCAGACAATGGTTACTTTTGCAAAATAATACGTTTTTGAACTTAGGTGCTTATATTTTATCGCCTCAATCTGCCGCATTGGTTCTACATCAAATATCCGACACTTATAAGAGGCTGTTTGTGATTGCCTTTGACCAAAGCGTGGCGGTTCATTTTTTGTGTTGCATTTTGAATCATAATCAGAAAATAATATGCAGCAAATCGAAATACGAGGATATGGTGACCGGGTTTTTGATTGATAATGGGAATAATTTTGCTTTTTATGTTGAAGGATCTTCGATAGGTATTGTTTCCTATAGATTGAAAATTAGTTTTTTTCAAAATTTACTCTTAGGTTATATTTTGAATCTACTGCAAGAGCTTGATCAAGTCACCGCAATAGAGGCTAAAATATTCTTCAACACGGATCAAGCCTACGAAAACAGACTGTACGATATTTGTAGCAAATGGAGTGGCCTTTATGTTGTCAATTTAAAAATACCTTTGCAGGACATTTTGCAAAATCCCAAAGTTTTTATCAAAGGAAATATGCCCCTGTTATGCAGACAGGTAGTTGAAGCCATTGAAATATTAGTAAAATAAACATTTCTTTTTAGTGTTTATCAAAACTAGATCTTCTTTTCAAAACTGATACCTTGAAAAATATGATCCAGCGAGAACTATTTCCGACTCTGGACGAACTTGTTTGTTTGGACGTTGAGTATGGCGTTCCCTATGGTTGGAAATCGTATCAGATGTTTGGAGAAGATATTCACGATCATAAAAGTATATTTGGCATGGATTGAAATCCATCAAAGTTGGCATTATAATTGAAACAAACTCTATAGACAGTAGACACAATGAAAAAATATAAATCCATAGACACCATTGATTTCAAATTTGAAGGAATTTTTATTGGTTTTGCTTGTTGTTTTTGGCAAAGTATATTCGAAATTCTTCTCAATCAAGGTTTCCGGAAAATAATTTGATGGCCCTTTAAGATGACCAGAAAAATTGATAGAATTTTTGGTATGGGAACCCATTTTCAACGAATACAGGATATGGTAAGTGGTTGTTGTTTCCATTACTCGCATAGTAGTTTTGGCAACAGTTGTAGTTGTAGAAATTCGTAGATAACGTATAGACATTGACATTTTCACCTTTTTCTCAATCTATCAACTTTCACGTATTAAAAGTGTATCATTCAATTCAAATACAAAGAGGTTCCAGGTTTAAAAGTGTACATAGGTTTCTACATTGTGTGTCGGATCGTTTTAAGTCATAGTATCGGGTAGGTCTTGGCAAACGTTACAGTTAGTTGTTGGTTCGAATTTCGAAGTTGTTATTTTCTTTAGTGCCTTAAGGGCAACAATTCCAAATTAAGATTTATTCTTAAAATTGTTGTTCTAATAATAGTCTGCGTCCAACGCAAATGTCCTCGGACATAACTGATCCAAAGTATCGACGTACATGGTAAAGTTAGATGTACAAATACTCAATACAAATTTCACTAGAAGGGACTCCAGTTTGATAACTATATTCCAATATTGGAACTCAGGACAGTGTTTTTTCGACAAAATCTACAATTCGATGCCTTTTCTACTGATGCTGGAATTCATGTTTCGCATGTTGAATGCGTTTATCTGTAGACGATGCAAGGCAGTTAAAGTAACTTCGTGTGCATACCGAGATCTTTTTACATGCGACGATGTGAGACAGGATTTCGCAAAACGTAATCTTTCCAGGACATAGTTAATCCAAGGATTTAAGACTTTCCTAGGAGTGAAGGCAGGATCATGGTCAGAGTACTGTCGATTGACAGTTGGCAAAGGAGGGTCACTTCTAACTTCACCAGTTACAGGAAGAGTAGTGTAATATTCAGGGAGGCCATTGGCAATTTGATTGTTCCACTGCTGAATACGAACGCTGATATCATCAATCTTCATAACTGTGAAACTGTGTCACTGTGAGGATGCTGAATAATCGTAATACTTGAACCATGGAAAGAAGTAACGACAGTAGAAGAAAATTAATTGTTGTCAATGTTGTCTATTGATGATGTTACAAATACAGGGGGACACAACTTTGACGGTTGGTGACCACCATCTTCCATATATTATTGGCACAATACATTCGTAACTGTGGCTGATATTTCTTGCCCGCGATTATATGGGACACTCAAGCCTAGACGACACAATTTATCTATAATCTTTTTTCTTTTTAGTGACAGCGTGAATCATGAAACCTACATATGTGTACAAATGTGGAAACAGTAAATGCATCGTCAAAGGAAATTTCAAATTTCAAAATCAAAATCAAAATCAAAATAGTTTATTGGTGTTATAAATACAATTGTACCTTACACAAGTCATATAAATAAATCTTACATTTATCATAAAAATTACAAAAATAATGCTGAGCACTATACATATTATTTTAAAGAAAAAGAGACCGATAAATGCTAAAATTACAATGACTAATACAAAGTTAAAATAAAGACAAAAATGTCAATTATATAAATTAAACTAAAATAAAAACAATTATTACAGGTAAAACTCCATTAAAAAAGACGAAACTGCATTAAAAAAGACAAAACCTATACATATTACAACAAACCTATTACACATTAAAATTAAAATTCATGACTTAAAAACTCTGTATAACTATAAAATGCTTGACTACACAGGAAGCCTTTAATTTTTTGCTTGAACTGTTTCTCTGGTAGGCTCTTGAAGGAACCAGATAACTTGTTGAAAAAATGGATTGAGAAACAGCTGGGACCACTCCTGCACCTCTCAAGCCGATGGTAATTTGGTACCAGACATTCAGGCCTATGATGTATCATTTTCCGTTATTTTAACAGCAACGTTAAGTTCTCTATCACTGTTTATTCTATACGAAAAAATAGAGACAGCAATAGATGATGAGCCATAACACAGCCGTTAAACTAACAGGACTGGATACATCATAGGCCTGAATATGTCTGTTACGAGTGTCATACCTAATTATGGATGTCAACATGAGACCGATAACTACCCAGGTTACTACTCAAGTACACAAGGCACTCATATATGAATAGACACGGAACAGTCAGAATATTGTTATCTATAAAAGCCTGCCTATAATCTTCTCTATAAGACAACCCTGCCAATATCCGAACCGCTCTCCTCTGAAGCCTAAAAACTCTTGTTGCTCCTGCACTGTAACCCCATGCAATGATAGCATAAGAAATATGGCTATGCACCAATGACAAATATCCTTGCTTAAGCACGGAATGCGACACGGAGCCAGTTAGACCACGCAGCAAAAATACATTTGAAGCGAGTCTAGAGCACAGGGCATCAGTATGGGCGTCCCAGCGCAGCCCGGGTTTGAAAGAGTTGTCTTCGTAATATACCTACTGCCAACATCTCCTTAAAATAATTCCACGCCCAGACTTATCTGCTCTCAAACCAGGTACAAATGCTAATAGTTGTTCCTTGAGACGTGTGTTCTATTCATATTCTTTCCGTCAGTTTGAATTCCCATGTCAGTCATGCGCTCAGACACAAATACTAATTTTGTTACATAAAAAAGTTTAAGCACTGAAGAAGTACTGCTAGATGAGTATAAGTCCTGCATGTGTTGAACCAACTTCGTTATAACTGCACCGCATAAACAACTTCTTCAGGATTATAGTATTCTTCTCTTTGAGAACGTTCAGCAGCTCGTGAATGTGTTAGAAAGCGAGTATAGCATAGTTTGTGGTATTTGGCTTCTAATGCTACAAAATCTGTTGATGATAACTTCTCCAACGCTTTTTCATCTTGTAATTGTATAGCATGAATGAATTTTAGGCCCGATACCCAGCCTGGATGCAGTCACAAGTTTGTCTTTATATACCTTCTCCTTCGTCACAAAACAGACACACGTTTTTCACATCTAAACAAATAATGATGATTTTGTAAATTTTGATATAGAGCCGGTTCTGCTACGAGGCAGCAAACTTCAGATTCGTATTCAGCACCCCAAAAAGCATATAATTCCGTTGAAAAACCTTCTACCGCATTCACGTTACCAAAAAATTACCATTTGACTGGACTATAATAGGCGATGATAAAAGAATCCAAAGCTTAGTGCCACAAGAATACACAAGTAACTAAAACACAAAATATTCTATTCAAATGCCGCATTTTTTTTGAATTCCTATTCATTACAATAAACACAAAGTAATTTAGGAAATTGTGCAATCATCATCAGTAGGAATTACTTCAGAAAGCAGATCAACAAAATCGTCAAATGGACAAAAAGCGTCACAGCCAGGAATGGTTAAAAGTATAGGTTCTTTGGTGGTCCAATTTTGATAAAATACCTGTAAAAAGCTACTATAGTTATGTTAACAATAATGATTCATTGTAATTACCTTAAATCCAACAATACCATCGATTCTGTGCAATTCGATCGAAACGTAACTCCCATAAGTAGGAATTGAGTCGTCATATACACCAAGCGTTATCAGTAAATAAGCTATATTCACTTCGTGACCCGAATAAATGAACATTTTTCTATGTTGAGGAATAAGGGTTTGCTCAATTTTTGCTTTAGAATCGTTGATGATTTTTCTCAGTAGGAACCCACCTGCGATTTTTTTCAAGGTCGTCGTATTGGTTGCAATATAGTACGTGTCTTTGGTGATTTTTTCCAAATCGGACCATACTGATTCCAGCCAGCTTTCCAAAGCGTAACCAAAGTCTCGCTAAATAATAATATATTTATGGTAATTTAAATATTGTTGGTGATTTTAAAAAAAAATTACCTGTGCATCCCCAAAAAAATACAAACCAAAAACGCTGTTAGGAGTGCTGACATTTGTTCCAGCATGCTCAGAAACATACTCATACACATCCTTATATTTGGACAGTAATTTTTGGATTTCATCTGAATTCTCTAACTCATTAACCAACTCAATGTAGTTCTCGCAGATACCGGTACTTCCAAGTTCTTTGTCATTTAATAAATGATTGTAAGGTATCGGTTGCCAATTGAGCCAAGGTTTCCAAATTTGATCGCCTTTCGGCGGCCATAAACCTGCCAGCATCGATTGCAAAGACATTTTGGTTCTGTTGAAGTTTGTGGTTCTAGCGTCCAAAAGGTCAATGTTGTAGGTGTCCCCTAAGAAATTGTCGTATCTTTTTCGTAGAGAGGTTCCCATGCGGTATGCAGTTCTTTTACCTTTCTATAGAAATAATTTATTGTTTTTTTTTTGTAGGTATAGGTATAGCTACCTACTTACATTAGTTATCTGTCCCATTCCATAGGGCATATAATAGCTTTCATTTGAAATAGGGTCGTTTTTGTAAGGAATTGAATCTGGTGTACGGTTGCCATGCCTAAATAACTATTTGAAAAATAATAATGCAAAGTAATTTATATTAAAAGCTACTTACGATATGGACTAATACCAAAGTGTCTTCATCTGTAGTTTTTGGTGCCCCACTAACTGCGCTTAAGCAGTAAAAGACCAAGATGAGTAATAGAGTATCTATGAGGCAGTTCATTGTCAGATAAATGCTTTATTTTCAATCGATCTTTTTATATTGAAATTTTTTTGGATTCCGATGGATAATAAACAAATAAAGTAATAAAAGGATTAGTGTAAGTTACGATTTAATACAATCCATGCCAAAATTATAAAAGATGGATTATGTATTAGTAAACGTTTTATTAGCTTCACATATTCGTCATGAAATGAAATTATGTTATGAAGATTCTCTTATCTTATATTATAAGGACCAACCTGAAGACTCTGACCTCAATAAAAAATCTACCATCAAAAAATTGTGATGCATTTAGATACCAATGAGGTAGTTAATTCGCAAAATAACCCAAATTAGACTAAAATGTCAGGACCCGGATTTATCCAATATCCTCAACATCTTGCATTTACAGAGAATGTCTAAAACTACAAACTAATACCCAACAACCCCTTACGCGATTTTACGTTTCCGTGTTCAATTCAGACAGAGGCGGTCTTGAAATAAACACGGGAAAGTATTGCAATATTTATTGACAAACCCGGGTTGATTTCGAAGCGCCAGACAATGAACCACGCACGGATTTGTTTGAAAATGACTGGCGGTACATGTTCACGTTTCCGTTTTCATTTCAATGAGCATCTTGTTACTGAACACCAATATAAAAGTGATTTAACTAAACTATTTTTTATATTTACACAAATACAGGGCATAGGCGCCGGAACCATGGGGGCAATGGAGGCTTGAGCCCCCATAGTGAATTTTCTGTGGGGGCGAAGCCCCCATAGTTATTTAGGTATTACATATAGTATGTAGGTAGAAAAATATTGAGTTCCTAACTATTAATTTTTATATCAAATTTGTGTATTTTATGTTTTCGTTGTTTTTGCTATACCTGCATTAAGGTTGATGGTCCTTTGGGCGCGTTTTCGTCCGAATTGCATTTGTCAGAAATTTTACGAAAAGTGCGAATGATCCCATTTCAGTGAAACCCAATGACGGTCGTACATTGTCATTGTACCTGATATTATTCGTGCGAATTCGGATGCGATTGAACCAAAAAAAAATGGGATTTTTCGCAGTAGTTCTGACGATTTGTGTGTGTTAACTGGGTTATTGAGAAGATAGAAATATGGATATCGAAAAATTCATTAATTTGATATGGACAAAAAACCTTTGTGGGATATGACTGTCCAATCATATCACATGAGAGACATGCAGACATGGGCGTCGTTACGAGGTTTTTCAGGGAGGGGGGACAGTATTATTATAAGACCATTTCCATTAGCGCCGTAGGCTAATTTTTTTTAGTGCCACGCCCCTTTTTGAGCATTTTAACGTACTTATTTGATATCGATATTTGTTAAAAATTATGGTATTTTTTTCCACAACAAATTCACTGTCCACGCCATTTGTTTAGGTAATTTTCCAATGGCCGGTATTATAAAGCACTGAATTGATGATTGAGTTTCAACCTTCGGTTGACTCCATGCAAATTGATAGGATTCAACCGAAGGTTGGAACTTGGAACTCTTCCATCGGTTCAGTGATTTATGATACCGGCCCTAAGTCAAGTGAAATTCAATTCCGTTGAATGAAATGAAAATGTCAGCCAATTTTTCAAAGTACAGTAGACTCGCGCTAGTGTGACCACAAAAAAAACCGAACGTGTTCATATTATCGAGACGTTCACACCATCGAAGGTCTACCTAAAAATGCAAAATATTGTCAGCAATGGTCTCTAAACTTAAAATTCAAGAAAAATTAATAACATAGGTAGTTGCAAACCTATCCATTAAGTAAATTTTCCCAGTTTATTGATTAAGGTGAGATGTAATTTTTGTCTAAATGGTTCTACCTGAGCATTGGATGGCTACCTACTTTGTCTTAAAGTTTCTTGAGCTTTCTGTGTCATTAGCGCGAATATATGCTATTGCCTTGCTGGCAATTTTCTAGAATTTTTGACTTCTCATAAGGTCTGTTCTCACAAAAGTCCCTGACAGTTTGCAAACTGTCAGTAACAATCGCTCAGCTAAGTTACTGAGTTATCTTGGAATGACGGCATTGAAAACATGCATAGGCGATGCATTATGTTTTTCGGCCTTTTTTCAAAACTGATTAACCACAACAAACAATACGAACTGAAGATTTATAGAATTTTGAACGTGCTCTTGACGCGCTGCCACTTGCGTATTCCACATTAGAGTGAATGCAGTAACTCAACATATCTGTGCATTCCTTGTCTCAAAATCTTCGGGGAACCCGGAACCCCATAATTGGATAGAAACAATCGATGAAAACAACAAGTAAGCAGAAAACGGTTAAATTCGTAGTCAAATACCGATATTCTCAAAAGTTCACACTACAGAATACGTAGGTATAATGTATTCATTCTGGCTGTTCATACTACTGGGAGGTTCACAGAAGCGTGTGTTCACACTAGCACGAGTCTACGACGAGTCTACTGTACCTAACAAATTTTGAAAAAATGGAAAAAAGCAATACGAATACGAACTCTCTTTTACTGCTTTCTTGTTCAAAAGACTATTTCTAGGGGGGTGGGGCAAATGCCCCCCCCCCCTTGCCCTACCCCCCAAACGACGCCCATGCATGCAGAGAAAATTCATCCTTTAAATCATCATATAAATGATGAAATTCTCTGAATTATTTTCGTTTTGCTAAAATATCATTAATCCAGCACTTTTTTTTTTAACAATCGCCGTCTAACAAGATAATTAATTATATTTTCCAAAAGATAATCCCTCTATATTACTCCACTACGTAAAGATTGTGCGAAGTCTGCAAAAACTTGTCCAGTGGCCGATATCACGTATGCGAAATCTGATGAAATGATTTGTCCTATTTCTGACGGTTGCAATTCGGACGAAAACGCATGCAAAGGACGACCGGCCTTAACAAACAGTTTGAATATGTTGTTGTGTAGTATTTAAATCTGTGTATTTTCAAAAAGTCGTTTGATTATTATTTCCTTTCCGTTTGTTTTCATGATAGCTATGTTTACATCACATGAATATATCATGATGTACCAATACACTGGCTTTTTTTACCTAGTTTATCGTGGAAACAAATTCAAAAATCTGGAAAGCAAGGCCACCTGGGGGGACCCCTAAATATATTTTTTTTTTGCTGATTCGGATGAAGTTTAGAATATAGGTGAAAGGGGCCCAGAAAAGGTGATATTCCAAGTTTCAGCCCTCTCCGACCTATCGGAGAGGTTTTAGCCCCTATCTCTCCAATTTTGGAAAAGGACGTGTAATGGTGCATACACGCCCTGCATTTACTTCTCCGAATTTTGAGAAATGAAAAACACCACCGGATAGAGGAGCCAAAAATACGTCGAAAATATTTCCTGGTGTTTTTCGCTCCGACGCTTCGTAAGCCCGGAAAAAAATAAAAAAGATTTTGATCCTGGAAAATTTCGAAAAGTCGATTTTCTCAAAAACGATGCCCCGTGAAAGGGTAACTCTAATAAGCTTTTTTGTAATTCTCAATGAGATCTACAGGTTTTGTATGTAAGGTTTTTCTTCCCAAGCTCTCTGTTTTCCAGCTAGGATACTTTGAGATTCAAAAAAATTAAATAAAGGCTGTTTTGAATTTTTTTGTCATGACGGTCTAAAGGGGATCCCAAATATCTCCTAAATGGATTCAGTTTATTTTTTTCTCTCGTTTTTTTGATTTTTTTTTTCAAAATATGTGTTTTTGCCTTGATATAATATGATATTATAATAAAAGTAACGTTCTACTATAAGTTCTTATCAAAATTTGTGAAAATGGCCGCATCCCCGCTTGCCTCCACCATTAGCAGTCCCAAAAATACCGTAAAAAGACCAAAGTTTCGCGCCTGCCGCGGAGCTTGGAGGATTTCTCCATAAGGATTTGCCTCCTCTCCTCAAAATCCTGGCTCCAATGGTGCCTACAATTTTTTTTTTGCAAATCCATTCCTTTACTAACGTACTCTCAGAAAAAATATCGGCAGACGAAAAAGACGGCAGCGTCTTTTTGGCAGACGCTGGAATAATGACAAGTTGATTTATGGTAAACAATACTGATAATAGCTGATATTCATGAAAGCGTTAGAGCAGCTCTAGTGTATTCAAAATTCAAGTAGGCAGAAGATTTATTTGACAGCACAATTTTGGCAGACACTATCAAATTTTGAAATTTTGTCATATACAGGGTGTCCCAGCCGAGAGTGACCCATTTGAAATGCTTATAACTTCTAAACTAGTTGCGCTAGCGACCTGCGGTTTGCGCCATTCTTCTGGCCTAAAGTTTTTTTTAGTAGGTTACAAATTTTCTTGCCTCTCATACAGGGCGAGTAAAAAAAATCCGTTTTTCAACATCGAAATTCTCTACTATCTTTAATACAACACCCAGTACATCACAACGTCAAAAAAAAAGTGTCATGCTAAAGGTATCCATGTACCAATAAGCATCATCCTTCAAACTTAAAGTTTTAGCCATAAAAAATTGAAATCTAAATCCTGGTATTTTAGCATAAGCATGGCAGCTTCATGTTGTAGGTATGTACTGTACTTGCTATCACTTTGGCAAACACTGCCATCCCTAGCCATAGCACCTTATATCCAAATGTACCAACGGCTACTGGTCCTCTGCCGCACAGCAATATTCACTCAATTCCGGTGCTTCCGAGGGGAGGGTCACTCACCAGAATTTGTACACCTATTTATAAATACAAATAAATATGTAAGTATTTGCTGTATTTGAATGTATTGTGCAAAACCACATAATGGAAGATAAATAACTTGATAATTAGTGGACTGTATAATTAGGTGGACTGGATGATCGACTGGATAGGGAACTAAAACACACGCGCTTTTCACTGACACTATATTTACAACAATTTACACAATATTTACACTATTTACAATTACTACTACAAGATGACAAGAAGCCAGAGCTTGCTTAGATGCCCAACAGGGCAGAGCTAGATTATAAAATTTATTAAAATGTGAAAAGGTTTCTGGATGCTTGTTAACGTG